GTTCTGGGATGATTTACAGAGTATTCTGGTAACAGTGCAGAGAGTGGGTTAGGAAGATGGAGCAGAAGCTAAGCGCTCAGGTAGTAAGTAGCAACTCGCAGGCTGTTGGGTGGTCCAAATGGAGATGTAAGACCTGGGATTTCACATTAGCTGAGATTTTTGTATTACATTTGTTAATTTCCAAGCTGAATGCACTTTAAAATCATAATGTATTCATCCTCCTCCAATTCTTACCACATTTTAGTGACCAAAAATAAAGTATAACTCTCTGCTTCTGGTCTGAATGTGCCAAGAAGGTACCTTGTATAAATTGAAGAATGTTTTGTCTTCAGTCACCGAGTGTGCAAGAATGAATTACTGTTGGATTTAGACTGTGATGTCACATATTTAAAGGCCATGAAATGTAACTGACGGTACTTGATTTAAAAAAAATCTTATTTTTCAGTATGTTTAAAAAAAGCAAGCCAAATTTATTCTTGAGGTGTGCTGTGGTAGTGCACAATTTTGAGAAGTTACAGCACTGGATTGGACTATTGTTTAGTCTCATGAAGTTGGCATCAACATGCCTGAACTAGTACCAGTGCTTCAATTCACCAATGAAATGGTGGATGATACAGTACTATTATTGGCAAACCTAACACCTATACCCAACCCTTATCTCCTCTGATCATTTCTACTACAGAAGCTAGAAAAGTGAAATACTCAATTTCCCAGCTTCTTTTTCTGCTAGAGATGGCCAAGAGATACGGTTATGGCAAAGGAAAGGGGAACAAGGAGTGTATGATTCATATGCACTAGGATAACATCAAAGAAATGAACTGAATTGTATTTATTTGGTCTATATTGATATAACTCTAAGTGTTAGTTCATCATGACTACCTATCTAAAAATATATGCTGATAGAAGTATACAGCTGAGAATCAGTGACCACTATATTAAATTTTAGTGGAAAGAACTTCAGGAGGAACATGCTGCTTAAATCTGTACACAATCTTTCTGCTATATATTTTACACAACCAACAAAGAGACTGTAAGAAACTCCGTAAGTTCTATTTTCAGTGAAATCAGGAGACAGATATAATCTTCACATGCCAAAATAGACATAAGGGCTGCTAAAACAGTTGAGATTTAGCAGTAGTATGGCCAAAGAGAAAGGAGGAAGAGCAGTGAGAAGAGGGAGGCAGCAGATACCTGTATCAGCAAAAGTCACTTTTTTGAATGTGAAAAGCCCCCCGCCCCCGTCAAGGAGCAAAAGCAATGTCTCTTGTTTATAACAATTAGGGCCAGAGGAGAGCAAGGCTAGCTGAATAAGTCCTTCAGGACCTGGTTTGGTTCAGGGAAAAAAAGGAGGAAGAGCTACACAAGAAATCACAGGAAGGGGCCACATTTACTAGAGGCAGCACAGCTCTGAGGCACTGGCTGAAGAGATGATAAACATGGTTATGAAATGTCAAAGGTTAGCATGGCCTGGATTTCCTGCAAATATGTGCGTAATTGAGAAAAACTGCCATGATACTGATACAAAGACCATTCAAAAAACTGTAAGAAAAGTTAGCAAAAATGATCACAAACATTTGCCACCTGAAAAATATTGCAGAACAGATGGAAACATTTTGCCATGAGTAATAAAATATAGTCATTCAATTGCTGCCTTAAAGAAAATCAACAAAACAGAGGAAGTCAAGGAAGACTTGGTGAGAAAATGGTAGGAGAAAACATGAGCTTAGGAAAAAAGTTATAGAAAATTAACTGCAGGAAACTCAATGAGACACAGATAACAAATGCAGAAATAAAACAATGAAATGGAAATGAAGAAAAAAATTAAATTTGTTCTCTTGGTAATGTAAGATTAGATAATTTAATCAATCACAGACACCACCAGTGAGGTGACCTGGATAAGCAAACAGAACTCGCACCTGGAGACAACAGAATCTTAAACCACAATTTTATTCTACTAACAATTCTGCAAACCAAATTTGGGCATGTAATAAAAAATACCCAAGTCTAAGAGTAAAAAATACAAACAAAACAAAGAACAAACCAGCAGAAACAGATTCCCCCCCCCCAGTACTAGGAATCGAACTCATGACCTTGCGCTTGCCAGGCAGGCGCAGTGCCGCTGAGCTAAATCCCCAGCCCTAGAAACAGATCTTAAAGTGGCACTAACTTTCAGCACTGCCAAGCACAAAGTGTCTAACAAGTCTAAAACTTGGCTATTCTGAGAAACCAAGTGGTAATAGTAATAAACTCATTGAGAACTCAGGAGTTCACATTGATACAGCTGAACAAATGAAGAAAGATGGGTGAGGAGATCTAACACTTCAAGTAGAATTCCAATAAATGTAGTAGTACAATCAGAAGACTGCCACTTGACAGTGTCTGGAACAAATACAAAGACATGCATGGGGATGACTAATGTTAGGAATACTTTTCTTTTGGTGTTCACATCTTTTCCCCATCATTCTACTTTCAGGATTTTGGTCTTCCATGTTTTAGCTCACTCTTATAAGCAACATATAGGTGTTTTTCTGCAATTTCCTAATTTTTCTTTACTGGGCTGCTGAATCTGTTTTCATTTAATAAAATTTATGAATACATTTGGTTTATATCCATGTTTTAAATGTCATTTCATCTTACTCTTTCTTGTTTGCCCTATATGTATTATTATTCTGCTCTATTAATCCCTCAGATAAAATTACAACTTCATAGTCTGTACTTTCTCAATTTGCTATTTGCACACCAGTAAATTTCTGATCTCTCAATACTATCATTCTATTTAAATTGTTCAGTCATTAATATTTATTGTAAAAGGAAATGCCACACTGCTGCAATAAATAACAATTCAGTAGCACTTGCTATAAATAGAAAATAATTGAAACACAAATAAGAGCTCATCTTATGTGCCACTTTGGAAATTATTCTCATATCCCATAAGGCTTTACTAAGATTTAGACCTATACCCAAAATGGAAGCCATGAGCCACTTAGATCTACTTAAATTTAATGTCAAATGGAAATTTAAAAACTCAGTTCCTGTCCCACTGGCTACATTTCAAGTTAGTAACATCCACATGAGGCTACTGGCTACTGTGCTGGGCAGTGCACTTAGAGGACATTCCCATCCTTGGAGAAAATTCTGTGGAATAGCACTGTTCTCCAGCAACCCCCACCCCTCCCCTCCCCGCCCAGCGCTGAGCAATACCAGTAGCGCAGTCTGGTAGTGTAACGAAGCTCTTCCTCTAGTTCACACCTTTGCATATTCCAATCCTTCTGTCTGAAACGCTCTTCCCTGCTAGCTGCATTTCATTTTTTTGGTCTCATCTTATTCACAGACCTTCTTCACATTCTAAAATAGTACCTGATCCCCGGTGTCCATTATTTCCCATCACAGTTGTTTTTTTCCTTTCATTACAACTACTGCAATTTAAAATGATCTCAATCACCTATTTCCCACCTTTGCCTAAACTGTTGAAAATTGTGAAGCCCACAAATATGTATACCAACATCACTGAAAATCTCAATTTGAATAGTTCAAGACAATTAATAAATTATACTTTCACATCCATGTGGAAAGTTATTCAATACTTTTAGCTGAGCCTTGTGGCACACACCTGTAATGTCAGCTATTCAAGAGACTGAGGCAGGGGGCTGGGGATTTAGCTCAGCGGCAAAAGCGCCTGCCTGGCAAGGTCATGAGTTCGGTTCCCGGTACCGGAGAAAAACAAACAAACAAAAAAAGACTGAGGCAGGAGAATTCCAAGTTCGAGCCCAGCCTGGGCAATTTACTGAGACTCCATTTCAAAATAAATGTAGGGGAGATAGTTCAGTGTTCCCTGGACTCAATCCCCAGTACCACAAACAAGTGAACTTGTTTCACATTTTAAATTATAGATTCCCCCACAACTGGTCACTGAATTCAAAGCAGAAATGGAAAGAGCAAAATAACTAAGGAATAAAGGGAGTTTATTAGTTTATATATAGTTTTTAAAAATAATAAGGCAAGTTCAGGTTCAAATTTAAATCTTTAAAAACACAGCTATATAATTTGACCTAGAAAAAAAGAGAACACCCCTCTGAAAGCCCCCTGCTCCTCCCTGGTCCTTGCACATGTGTGTGAGGAAGGTATGCTCCTCTGAACTATGTCCCCAGCCCCATGTATCATTTTGGATAGCAAGCAAGCTGAGGTTCAGCGGACAGCTTTTCCTTCTTGTATTAAAAAAAAAAAAAAATCACAAAAATAGTCCTGTACAATGAAACTTTACTCAAGTGGACAGTAAAGAATGAGATATTCTGTTAATGCCACATATGTTCAAGTTGATAAGATTAAACCACAAAACCTTAATGTAGTCATGGGTAAGATGGGGAAGATAACTGCATTCACCGCTCAGAACCGAGAAGTGGTAGGTTACATTTTTCAGAATATTAAGTTACTGCTTAAGCATACTTACAAGTTTTTGTGAAATAAGGTTAGCTATCGTCAGTATAACCTTTTAAGTGAGGAAGATAACTGCCAAAAAAATTAAAAAGATCAAACAGCTGACTTGATTATCTAATTACATGTCAACTCTCATTTATTTTGGATTGCAGACATACTTTTCTCCCTTTTCTATTTAGACAACTCCAATGAGCCGCTTGAATCTCATCATGCAATTATGGCAAATGGATAAATTTGATCCATTAATTGAGACAGAAGTTCAAAAGTACTAGAAAATAATTTATAGACTGAAAGATGTTTTCAGGAATACTATTTGATTGAGGCTTCCATATACATCCAAAAGGTTTTTACAAAAAATCCAATGAAAAGATTTACTTTAGAAAAACTGTATAGATATATGGTTAGTAATATTGAGAATGACTGAGTTTAAAAAATAAGCCCTAACAGTACATTTTCAATGTGAACATGAAGCTCAGCATAGTGACCAAGTGAACAATGGATAGTTCCAGATTTTCTCTTGCAACATAAAAAATATTCCAAACTAAAAGGCAACAGATTCAATTAAATTGCAAATACAACTGTAATTTTTATTCTGTAAGTAACTTTTGAAATATGACATTAGTGAACAAATGGGTAAACAATTACTTTTGTCATATTCTGAAACTGTACGGGGTGGAAAGAATATTGTAGGAATTTAAAAATTAAATTTAAAAAATGTTTCTACTTTAAACCTTTATGCTGCAGAAAATAACTTCATCCACTTTAATCAGGAACTAGTTTCATAAAGGGCATTCATTCTCTGGAATAAGAATTTCATTTTCTTTATTCAAAACATTTAATAAAGGAAAAGATGCCAGAAAATGTGATTACTTTTTGTTTTCTGTTCTGCTTGCAAATTTCTTTTACATGATTTCAAAGTCATTTGAAAATAAGATTATTTCCTTTACTGGATACAAATTAACTGCACAACGAATGTTTCTTGAAGACACGCCTAAGTCTTATTATGTAACCTTTAGAGAAGAGGACACAAAATTACAGACATTGGTAGTATAGGCTTACACTTTACCAAAACTCTAAAAGGCCATGATCAAATTAAAATTTTGATTTTTCTTTATTATCATTACTTCAGGCTGCCCACAAATTCTGCAGGTTGCAGCCCATTTCCAATTCGTACGTCCACTTTACAAATTAACATGTAGAGAACAAGTAAGATATACTGTACTTTTTTAAAAAAGTAAAGCTGTTTTCTGTTTTACATCGTACAGGATTAATGCTGTTCAATGTAATTAATGGTTATAGTACTGAACAATATAATGGTAGGATTATAAACCTCATCAGTTATATAGGTATGTTAACTACTGGTTTGCTGCCAGTAATTATTGACTATATTTGAAGCACATCCTCAACATGTGTCACAGTATGTACAGCAAGCAGTTCAATAATGATGAAACAAGCAGGAGAGTGCCTGAAGCAGGAAACTGTAATGTCGATGATAAATGCTTCAGAACATTAGGAATATGACTAATGAAGAGCAAAGTACGTAAATCTTGAACAAGGAAAGGGAAGGTATGTTTATTAAAAATAAAAATGATACAGTCTTTGATAACAAACAAGAAAGTATTCATACCACAAAAACATCAATATACACCATAACAATACACATACACTTAAAAAAAAAATCGAAGACTCATGAAGTAATTTTTTTTAGAACTTTAAAAAAATATTTCCGCTCCCTCCTGCTGGAGATATACCTACAAATAGACTATACTAGACCAGCATTCCCTTTCAAATGTTCTGTTCAACATGGTGTTGCACAATGTGTGCAATTATTTTGATGAACACATTGTTTTTGATTAAAATCATTGTTTCTGTATGGATGATCCAGAATATAAATCAGTGGTTCCATTCCATAAAAAATATTTATAGGCTGGAAGAGCAGTGACGAGGTTTTCCAAAATGTTCAGATTTAACAAAAAGCAGAGAACAGACGCAACTATTAAATCTAGATGGTTTCACATTATTTTACATGAGTATTAAGTATGTATAAAAATTAATGTAAAATCTTAAGTTAGCCAAAACTAGTGTCTCTAAAGATCAATGTTCTTCACTCTTTTAGCATAGTGACAAATCTTTTCTGTCTTGTCACTAATAATGTCTGTCAAACTAAAGAACTTGGAAAAAGAATATGCACTGCTGAAGGAAGATAGTAACCAAAGTATCATGCAGGACTCCAGTCTAGGACACACACAGTTCCTGTTGCATACTGGACTGTGATATTCTATTCTCTTCAGTCTTTTCATGTCCTGGGGCATGGCAAGTAGTCTTCCGCTTAAATAACCGAAGGCTCAGTCGTAGTAATTCATTGTCTACCATTGGAGCAGTTGTGTAAGCGTGTTTTACAGCACCCTATTTGAAGAAAACAAAAACAATTAAAAGATGTACATTACTAGCAGACAAAAGGAAAGAGGGAAGTTAACTTTATCAGAAATAATCAAAGCTGCAAGGGTACTTGGTTTTGAGTTGACATTAAATTTGCTTTGAAGGATTTAAAGCAAAATTACAAAGTGTTCAGACTCATTCTTAGTGCTAAAATGTAGAAAACTTTAGAGGGGACCTTGACCTCTTGCTTTATTTTACATTCATCACAAGAAGTTGGTACACATACATAACACATCTTAATTCTTTTTATATCCCCTTCCCTTCCATTTAACTCTTGCTCAAAGTGGGAATCCTCTCAACAGTTCCTGTGAGGGAATGAATAGGTTTAGTACCATTTCTAATGACAAAATAAACACAAAACATACGCATTCTATTGGTGAATAGCACTGTCTTTTACCCAACAAAATTTAAATTCTTAGAAGGTAAGATATGATTCCCTTCCTCTCATTTTTCTTTTGCAAGCCAAATATTCTACATTTCATACTGGCTTGTTAATGTTCATAAAAATTACGTTCCAGAATAGAATGAATTCTCTAGAAGATAGTTGTTTATGCTATATACTGGGTACTACTACCACATACTAAAATGTACACATATCTATTAATGTAACCTAAAGCTACATTAGCATTTTTAGAAAGTTATGTTCCCTAACCGTGTGGATACATTTGAATACTTTGACCACAATCAAGACAGACCAGTTTCATTACCCAAAAAAAACTCCCTTTACTGCTGCTTTGTATTCACACCCTCTTCCCAAGTTTAAACCTTGGCAACCACTGATGTCTTCCACCATAATACTGCCTTTTCCAGAACATCACGTACATACAAAATACAAATTTTAAGATTAGTTCCTTTCTTCAGCATAATGCCTTTGAGATTCATCCATGTTGTTGACAGTATCAATAATTTGGTTACATTTCACAAATCACATTTCCTCTATTATCCAGGTGAAAAACAAAGGAGTTGGTTTGTTGGGGTTGAATATGGCTGTTATAAACTTCTGTGTACAGGTTTTTATATGAAAGTAAGTTTTCATTTTTTTTAAGGTAAATACTGGTAATGGAACTGCTGAATCATACAGTAAATGTATATTTAACTTTATAAGAAATAACCAAACTTTTCCAAAGTGGCTCTACCATTTTGCATTCTCATCAGTAATGCAGTACATAAGAATTCTTATCAGTTATGCAACCTCACCAACACTTGATATTGTTGAGATACGCTAGTTGGTTGGTTGTTCTTAGAGACTGAAAAAGGTAGTTAACACATTTCTACTAGCTTGACACATTTCTACCAGAGCTACAGGCATGACTGTTCCATCTCCAGGCAGTGAGACAGGAATTACAGCCCTTGTGAATGTGTTAATGGTATTTCATTGCAGTTTTAATTTACATTTCCTAATGGCTAATGATGCTATATATGGTCTTAACAGCTGTCCATATATGCTCTTTGGTGAAATGTATGTTCAAGTCTTTTACTTGTTTTTAAAAATTAGTTTTCTCACTGTTAAGTCTTGAGAATATCATTATATATTTTAGATATAGTTCCTTTTTTTTTTTTTTTTTTGGTTTTGGTTTTTCTCCGGTACCGGGAACCGAACTCACGACCTTGCGCTTGCCAGGCAGGCGCTTTGCCGCTGAGCTAAATCCCCAGCCCCTAGTTCCTTTTTTTTGAGACAGGATCTCACTATGTAATTCAGGCTGGCCTTGAACTTGTGGCAATTCTCCTGGCTCAGCATCCTGAGTACTGGAATTACAGGCATGGGCCACACATGGCTAGAAACAGTTCTTTCTAAAAATGTATTTCTTAAGTATTTTCTTTTTTCTTTTTTGGTTTTTTTTTTTCCGGTACTGGGAATCAAACTCACGACCTCCAGCTTGCCAGGCAGGCGCTGTGCCACTGAGCTAAATTCCCAGCCCCAAGTATTTGCTTATGTTATGTTTATGTTTGTCTTTTCATTCTCTTATCAGCCTCTTTGAATTGAAAAGTTTTAAATTTTGAAGGAGAAAAATTATTTCCAAAAGTTAATACAATAAACCTCAAACTCTTTTCTTTCCCTTTCCTGGTTGTATTTGTGGGATCTATTTCTGCCCTCTATTCTGTTTCACTAACCCACCTTTCTGTTCCTTCACCAATTCCACACTACCTCAAGTAGTACAGTTTCAAGTAAGTCTTGAAACTAAGTAGCACCAATTTTCTAACTTTATTCTTCTTTTGTAAAAATTACTTTGGCGAGTCTAGTAACACTGACTTCCATATAAACTTTAGAATCAACTTGTCTGTATCTACAAAAAAGGTTTTGGATGGATTTTCACTGGAATTCTGTTAAATCTGCAAGTCAATCTGAGGAAGAACCGTAATCCTAACTACATTAAATCTCACCATCTATGAACACATGTCTCTCCATTTACTTAGGTCTTCACTGACTTTTTTCATCAGAGTTTTACAGATTTTGGTATATAGATCCTGCAGATGTTTTGTTAGATTTACACCTCAGTACACAAGGTATGATGAAAAACTATGGTGAATGTCAAAGGAACTGTTTTGAAACCACTCAAGACATTAAGGCAACCATGACACTGCAACTAAAAACATGAAAGAGAAGACATACAAAGTGAGAATGATGGGATGTGTTAAAGAGGGGAAATATACTGAGGGTAATCAATAGCAATGTGTCTGTTACTATAATAAACATTCACCATACTTTTTTATTACATCTACTTCATTTTTTTGGAGCCACTATAAAAGGAATTAATTTTTTAACATTTTGGTGTCTAGCTATTCATTGATAGTGATCAAACTACAACTCTTTTATATGCTAACTTTGTATCTCATGACCTTGATAAACTTACTGGTTCTAGGAATTCTTCTGTAAGCTCCTTGAATCTCTTATATAATTCATAAGAGACAAGGTCCTGAACAATGGTTTTCCATGAGAAATTTAAACAAATTTTTTGAAAATTTTCTTTTGTGTCTCTTAACATGCTAGGTTATCCTGTTACCTACGAATAAAATAGTTTTACTTCTGCCTTTTCTAATTTGTAGGCACCTACAAACTGGCTAGGACTTCCAGTATGATGTTGAGTCAGGTAGTGAGGGTGAACACCCTGCCTTGTTCCTGTACTCAGGGAGAAAGAATTCCAACTATTATCATTAGCTATAATGTTAGTTACAGATGTTTTGGTAGATACTCCTTATAAAGTAAAAACCCTTCTAATTACAACTTGCTGAGAATTTTTTTATAAAGGAACTAAGTTTTATCAAATAATATTTTGCACTAATTGATACAACCAGACATTTTTCCTTTATTCTGTTAATATGATGGATTATATTGAATAATTTTAATTTCAGAGCACACAGCCAGTGTTTCATTCACATGGTAAACCATACTTGGTTGTGCTGATATAGGAAATACTGATTTCCTAAGAATTTTGAGGATTTTTGTGTCCATCTTCATGAAAGATAATCATCTGCAGTTTTCTTGTGATCTCTTTCAATGCTGGATTCATAAAATGAAATGGGAAGTGTTTCTGTCTCTTCATTTTTCTGAAAGAAATTGTTTGGAACTGGTATAATTTCTTCTTTAAATGTTTGTAGATTTTGCCAATGCAACCATCTAGGACTAGACTGGAGGTTTCTTTATCAGAAGGTTTTTAACTACAAATTTAATTTAAAATAACAACAGATGAAGGACTAGTCAAGTTATTTATTATTTCTTAAGTTTTGGTAGTTTGTGGTTTTAGAACTCATTCCATTTCTTGTAAACTGTCAAATTTATGAGCATAAATTTATTCATAGTATTCCCTTATTATCCTTTATTTTTAAAATTGTTTTTATTTTAAAGAGAAAAGAACAAAAACAAACACAAAAAAACCCCACAAAAACGATACAGAATTTCAAAACAAGCTGATACAAAATTAACAATCGTTGATGTATTACATATTGTTATCTTCAGCTCAGATAACTAGATATAGGTATGAAGACTGATCAATTACACATTAACTGTTCCTTAAAATAAACCAACAGAAATTAGTAGTACAATTATCTTAGCCATCTTGTGTGTATATACATATTGTTTTCTTCCCCTTTTTCTTCTCCTTTCGCTCATCCTAGTTGTTTTTTCCTTTTGAACATTTTAGCTAACTGTCCCTCAGACAAAGGACTTATATCAAGAATAAATAAAGAATTAAAAAAACAGACCCCCCCCAAATTCAAAGACCCAATCCAAAAATGGGCATCTAAGATGAATATGCACTTCTTAGATGAAGAAATACAAACAGCAAATAAATACATGAACAAATATTCAACATCAATGGTCATTCAAGAGATGCAAATTAAAACAACACAGATTTCATCTCAGCCCAGTAAGAATGGCTACCATGAAGAAATCAACCAACGACAAATGCTGGAAGGGCTCTGGGGAAAAGAAACTCTTCTCCACTGTTGGTGGTGGCATTGTAGACTGGTGCAACCTTATTATCCTTTTAAAATCTGTAAGATTTGTAGTGATATCCCTATTTTCATTCCTGATATGGGTCATTTGTGTATTTTCTGCTTGTCAGTTTTGCTAAAAGATTATCAATTTTATTTGTTTCTTCAAAGAACCAGCTTTTGGTTTCACTAAGTTTCTTTAATTTATCTTATCTTCAATTTCATTCATTTGTTTTTTATTATTTTCTTCCTATTTACTGAAGGTTTAGCAAACTTTAATATTATATATTAAAATGAGATTTACACCCATTTACAACAACTAAGTGTTCTTTTTTGTATCCTTATTTCTTCAGAGATGCATTATAACTTACTTTAAAACAATCTCTCTCCTACACAGAGGATAAAGCCAATATACTGGGTGAATAGTATTCTTTTGTTTTGTTTTGTTTTTTTTGGTTTTTCTCCGGTACCAGGAACCGAACTCACAACCTTGTGCTTGCCAAGCAGGCGCTTTTGCCGCTGAGCTAAATCCCCAGCCCCATGAATAGTATTCTTTTATTCATTTGATAGAGCTTACCACCTAACCCATCAAATGACCCTATTCTATACGTTTTTTTTAATACACAGAACTTAAAGGTTTTTCCTCTTCTGAGATTTTTCATAAGGCTAATATATGAAAAAAATTTTCTTTAATTATGTCCCTCTTCCTATTTCCACTTTTGTGCTAATATTTTTATTTATTTATTTTTGTTGTTTGAAACAGGGCTTCATTATGTAGTTCAGGCTGGCCTTGAACTCGTGGTAATCTTCCTGCCTCAGCCTCCCAAATGCTGAGATTACAAGCACATATTACCACACCTGGCTTGTGCTGGCATTTTTAATATGGAGTAATCCAAAACCTTCTAGTACTTTCTTTAGGTGGATCACTTAAGACATTTATAATGGCCATTATAATTTTCATGATGTGTCACAGGCTGTAACTATTTGTGCTTAAACTGAAGGACTATCAGTTCCTGAACAGTGGGTTCTCCCTGAGAAAGTTGTAGAGTAGTCATACTTTTTGAAGGACATGATCATTAGAAGAACCAACAAATGTAATATACAATATATCTATTTTTTAAAGGATTATGAAGAGATTACAAATCATATAATCCTTTTCAACTTACATTTCTTATCTGAACCAGGCAGAAAATAAAGTGAACGATTATTTTTCAGTTCACTACCAAGGTTGGTGTTAATTGGTATCACTGGTATCATTCTAGGTGCTTAATGGAGACAGTGATTCATTACACACGTGCTTAGGAAATGGTAGGCTCTATTCTCTCAGAGAAAGGTTCAGCTGAGAAAGTTGAGCTGTGACAAAAGAATAAGCAGACTTAAGTACACACTGAAAGGAGAATGGCAACAAATAATGACTGAAGCAACTCTGGCAAAGGTAGTTTTTAGGCAGGCATTTAAGTAGGGAAGACATAGTTATATAGTCAAAAAGTGAGTTTTAAAAGGTCTCTTACTCCTCATATCTGTTTCCATTTTAACCTTTGCAAAGAAAATCATCCTCATTTTTTATGAATTTACCCCCCCACTCCAACCTCAGTACCCGTCTTTAACAAGGTATCCTTTAGTTTAGCACTTACATATCCAAACATAATCCTGTATTTTTTCAACTGTCTCCGTAAGAAATTAATATGTTAATGTTTTTCTAACTTTTAGAACCAACTTTCTCGGTCAGACTACCCCATGCTCACCACCAACCCTCCAAACTAAAAAGTACAGTTTTTAATTTTAAAAAGACATTTAAAAAGATGTTTTCAAGTTCTTATCAGATCTCTTCTAAATCAAAACTAATTTTGATTGATTTCTTCTATACACAGAACTAATTTCTATACAAAGAACTAATTTCTATACACAGAACTAATTTCTAAAACTGATTTCTTCTAAATCAAAACTAATTTTTATATTACTTTTCAACTTTCTTTACACTCCAAGTAAATGCTTATACAGTAATCACTTTCATTTATTTTCCTCTCTTCCAACTTGGTACAGGCTCAGAAACACTATCCTTAAATACCCTGTCTATGCTTTATCTAGAATTTTTTGGTCATTTATCTTTGAAAAAATTTCTAACATGTTTATAGAAAGAAACTTTTTGCAAATGTAAAGTAACTCACAAAAAAAACTATAAGTTTTTCTTACGTATGAAGTTTTAAATAACAAATAATTGTTATTCAGAGCAACTGTCATTCAAAACAATCACTGATCAGCATTACTAAAGTAAAATAAAAAGGGTCAGAAGTTCTAAGAGATTCTTCCTTTACATGTGTAAGACTAGGAGTCCAAACTCATAGAAACAGATAAAATGAGAATTCACTTTACAGCAATCAAGTAATAACACGCCATTCATACTTCTCATTCTGCTTTCTTCCCAAGGAAATCACAGTACCTTCTCGTTTCTAACCAGCTGCTTCCGGATTGCAGAATCTCGTCTGAAGCATAGTGCTTTACAGCACGGGCCGAGATTACTAAGAAGATTTGCTCTTTCTTCTTTCCGTAGCAATGCAGCCATATTGAGAGCCCCCAACTCATGTTCAAAGAGACTGTCAGTATCTTTTAATAAAAATAAACATGCATTAAATTTTTGTCGAACAGGAAAGTGCTACCAATGGCTTAATTAAATGCTCCTTGAATCTAAGATTTATCAAAATTAGCAGAATTAGTGAAAATTATTTCATACAAAAGGCAATATTCTCTGCAAACGATCTTAGACATACAGCTATGCTGCTAATCTTAAACACACTGATTACTATGAGAAGTTTAAGTGAAGAATTATTGAAATCAAATTTAGCATGTTGCCTACTATTAATTACGGAAGTTCTAAATTTCAGGACTTCATTACATCAAGATTCAAGATTGTAGTAATAGTCAACGTTGTGACCTCCAAAAAGAAAACAGTTAAGTTAGGAAAGTGTTAGCCAACCTGTAAGCCACCATAAAAACCTGGGGCAATATATTAAACTAAAATCACTTAATCTTAAGTCTAAGTATGAAACACAGGGAGAAAACATTTAAAATTTTACAAAAACAGCCTTATCAAGACACTATCTCGAAACAAAAAGGGCTAGCTATTAGAGCTCAGTGGTTGAGCACTACTGGGTTCAATCTATAGGACGAAACAAAATCAAACAAACAACAACAACAAAAACCACAAAAACTTTACAAAATAACCAAGGAAAAGTTTTACTAAAAAATAAAGGTTAAAAACAGATAAAAGGAAAGTCAAAATAACAGAATAGGACCAGTTTGTAATTCAAATAAATAACACTTATGTACTCTACCATACAATATAATCAGATAACTTACTATTAACATTCACAAAGGAAAACAGTAAGTAGCACCTGGGTAAAGTCAAAAGACAAATTTGACTGAGAACAAATGAAACTGCATTACACAGTTCATTTAAATTTTCTGAACTGCACAGCTTAAGTAATGAGATTAGATAATTATCAAGAAATTAGTCTTACAAATATACCTAAGTCAACATGTCCTATACCTAAACAATTAACTCTAAATTAGACCCAAACTCTGACATGTATCAGAATCATCTGAGGAGCTTTTTAAAATACTTCAGCTTTACAGAATCAGAATCTCCATAGCTGAGGCAAGATACCATAAAGAAAAAGGAAAAAAAAAAGCAGTTCCTCTCAAGATTCACTGATGTCTGAGTGAACCAATGGCAACAAAAATATGAATTATTATTCACTATAGATACAAACAAAGAAATCTGAATTGAACCATCCCCTTCCTGGGAAATTGTTAGGACAGATTCTTTTTTATTGGCATCCTTTCTGTTTTCACAACAGTACAATATAAAACATTTCCTGTAACATACGTATAAGATTACAGAAACCATAAACGTCCTCAGAGAATATAACATGACTAACCTTCCAGTCTGTACATGGTTCATGAACTGACTAGCACCATATTACTCAAAAGACACTAAACACATACTTACAAGGAAAACAAAGTATGCAAAATAACTGGAAAAGTTCACTCAAGTAAACAAAACTACAGTATATTGCAATTAGTTAACCTAGATAAAGGCAATTCCAATTTCAATAGACATTTTCTGTGTTAAGCCTATGTTTGTTTTTGGCTGTTTTAAAATATATGTATACACAGCATGGACACATGCTCTCTTTAGTGTTGGGCCATCAGAATAGACTAAATACAATACACAGATCAGTAATCAATTGTATCACAAACCTTTACTGAATATACACTATGTGCGAGGCACTGGTATGGACAATGGCATAATTAGTGATAACAGATAATTAGACATTGAATAGTGTAATAAAGTAAGTTCAATTCCATATGAAATGTATGCTCAGTAGCATTTTCAGTTCTCTAATATAACCAATTTTTTCTCTTTTTTTTGGCCAAAAAAGAGCAAGTTGTGACTGCTAGGCAATAATCAAATCTTCCTTTCACAAACAGTTCATAGTTTTATGTTTTACCTAAGTCACCCCTAAGGCTCAAATTTTTTATTTCATAGTTAGTAAAATCAAAGTGGATTTTAACTTGAAATGCCATTAGCAAAACTAACAGAAGTAGACAGTTTTAAAGGCAGATAATGTCTTAAAGGTTTTACTACCTCACTTTACATATCAAATGGAGGGCAACAGGAATTACTTGAGTAAGTCCACAGACCTAACTGAAGTAGGAAAAAGTAGGGGCAAGAATCCAAGTCTTTGGTCACATTTCAGGTGAATAAATGTTCACAATTATAATTTGCATATATTTCATGCACATACACTACTGGGTCATAACAAAATCAAAACTTTTATTGCTTATGCTAAAAGGAGAAAAAAGGGGCATGGGTAAAATACTGTTTTTCAGTTTCATTTTAGTAAGAAATTTAATTCTTTTAACTAAATTTTACTCTGAGGGACATGATTGTTGCTTTTACACTGAATTCCATTTCTTTCTTTTTGTCAACTAATAAAATTATTAATAAACTACTACACAAATTATGGTAGACACCAGACTAAAAGAAAGAGTAAAAAAAACCTGATGAACTGATAAACCTGATAAACTGATGAACAAAGGGATTATGGAATAATTAAAGTTGTTTCAATAGGGGAAGAACTCAGTGTGATACAGTATTTTCAGACGAAAGAGTAGCAGTTCATAGTGTCCTACATTCCACCACTGCAAGGAGCATTTGCTCTTGCAGCAGATAGCGGGTGTGCCATCATTCCCAACTGCCTACGATAACACTGACACAGAGAGTACCAGTGAGGGCTAGGCCTACAGAGTCCAGACCACCTGCCACTACTGACCAAGCTCTTCACACTTTTTTTTTTTGACAGTACTACTGGGACTGGATCCCAGGGCCCTTACACTGAGTTGTGTCCCCAGCTCTTCTAATTTTTTATTTTGAGGCAGGGTCTAGTAAGTCGCTAAGTTACCCAGACTGAGTTCAAACTTGCAATCTCTTGCCTCAGCCCCCTAGAATGCCAGGATAACAGGTAAGCACAACCATGCTTGACTACAATTTTGTTAAAAGGCTCAACCTAGACATCAGCATTTGGATAGAAATACTCAGTTCCTAGGGGAAAGAATTGGTAAGACAAACAATTTCCTTAGACATGCAAAATACGTATTTTTCTAGGTTGTGATTAGTGAGCTATGGGTAAACCACTGAACACCTTCACATCTCATCTGTTGAAAGACCAAACTCCTCTCTTTAGTGCTGGGTTTGAGCCCCAGGCCTTGTTTATTCTAAACACATGCTATACTCCCCAGGCCTCCAAAGTATTTTGATATTAAAAGTTCAATTTACTATTATGCAACTTTTCTGTGGGATTAAATTTTTCTCAAAATAAACTTAAGAGGAATTTTGAGCATGAAGAATAAATTGTGACTAGTAAGTGCTTCCTCCAAAAACCAGTTCCTATAGGATAAGTGTTAAATGACAACCAAATAGAATCCTTTTCAAAATCATCTTAACAATTATAGCAGGCATTATGAAATAAAATAGAATTACCTTTGGGTTTTTCTAACAGTCTCTGACATGTTTCTTTTACTTTGGTAAAGAGCTCAGAACCAGCCAACTTTTTAGAAATTCCAACCCTCAGCATAATAGCTCCAGGAGTGAATTTTAAGAGTGCAGCCCCAGGTTCTCGTGGTTCTTTTGGATGCTTTGGCATAAGACCAGACCAATCCACATCTATCACATCTAATGGATCTGTAAAAAGTTAAAGAATAGGATTTTTTTTCACATCAAGAAATACAAGTCTTATCTACAGAGAAATACATTTGGCTCTGCACATCCATGGGGTTCTGCATGTATGAATTCAAGAACAGATCAAAAATACACCAGAAGGTGGTACTGAACATACACAGACATTTTTCCTGTTTTTATTCACTCACCTACACTGTTAAAGCAGTTAATCTAGGGAAGATTTAAAGCATGGAGGAGGGGCTGGGGATTTAGCTCAGCGGCAAAAGCACCTGCCTGGCAAGCGCAAGGTCGTGAGTTCGGTTCCCGGTACCAGAGGAAAACCAAAAAAAAAAAAAAAAATAAAGCATGGAGGAGTATGTGTGTATGTCATACAGGTTACATGTTATACAGGACCCGACTATCCACAGGTCTAGGTACCTGCATGGGTCCTGGAACCAAATCCCCATGGACACCAGGTAATAAGCATCTACCCAGTAAACACACACTGACTAGTAAATATTTTAAACCAAAAATTTCACGTTCTTAAAATGAAAGCTTTCCCATAAAAACTAATGTTTAAAGCTTAAGAACCCTTACAATAATAAACTTTCCCAAAAGAAAAAAAGACAAGTTAGTCTACCCCTACAAAAATAACTCATCTAAACAACATGGGAGCTTTCCAATGAAAGACCTCACCAAGTCTCACGTTTTGAAACATGGTACCAGAATCTTCTCTGGGGCCAAATTTAGCACATTTAGTTCGCATATGTGTGCACAAACATATGATTTAGTTTTAAAAAATAATTCACTATGAAATTCCTTTAAGAATCAGTGATTATTAACATTGGAGCAAATATGCCATCAAGAAGGAACAAATAAAAAGACAAAATCTTTTGCTCAAAAACATTCAACAATCATACATACCTTCCACATTAGTAGAAAGAATTGTGGAACATAAGAGCAAATAAATCAAAATAAGTATTTCATATTTTATATATCTAGATCAAGCAGGGATCCTCACTGTAAAAAAACCGTGAGTTTAAGGTTCATAGTATATAGCCCAGAATCTTACCAAATACTATCTCCAATCTTATATACAATAGGTAAATGATACAGTACTTCACAATTCCATTGCCACAAGCCAACTTACACTCTGCAGAGGAGCTGAGCATGGTAGTGTAAGCCTACAACCTCAACACTCTGGAGGCTGAGGCAGGACAGGCCAGCCTAGGCTACACAGTGAGTTCAAAGCAAGCCTAAATTACACAGTGAGACTCTGTCTCAAAAAACAAAACAAAACACCTCAAAAGCAAAAAGAAACAAAACCTTTAGAAAGGAAATCTTAGAATTTTGCTTTTTCGAATGAGGCTCTTTCATAAGCAACATCTACTTAAAAATGAACAGATGAACATGTACACAGTTTTCTTTTTATTGGTCTTTCAACCTTAATTAAAATATGAAGTAAAAACTCAAAGGATCTTACATCAATTCTTTAGAATGAAAGGGAACAGACAACAACATAAATTGGGTAATTTCTATGCTCAACCACTTCTGCAATGATTACCTGGCATCTTCTCCTCGTCCTGTTGGTCCTCTCTCTTTTCCACATCTCCTGCCAGAATTTCATCCAATTCATCATCGCTGATTGGTTCATACCCTTCTCCAGCACCAGAGCCTAATGAATGTACATCATCTAATTTGGATTCGTCATCTCCTGCTAGGTAGACAAATAATGTAAAAAAAAAAAAAAAAAAAAGCATTAAAGGGAAGGGATGTCTAAGTCAAGCCAAAAGTTAAAAGGTTATGCACTCTACAACACTGTGTAAAACCTTTTTAAATCAGAAAACTACATTTCTTAGTGAAACACTTTCATTTCAAAAGATGGAGAAATTTTAATTAAATTTATTTTTAGCAGTAAAAATATAAGATGAACAGTAATATTCTACTCTTGTAATATCAGAAATAAAAGTACCATTAATATATTAACATTGAACGCTATATATAGTACTATTTTTTTTTTTTTGGTACCAGGAATCAAACTCAGGACCTTGCACTTGCCAAGCAGGGACTTATGCCACTGAGCTATATCCCCAGCTGTAGTATTAATTTTTTATAATAAAATTTTAACATTCTGAAAATTCTACCTTTAAAAGTCTATAACTTGTTTACCTAAATGAAGTTTTAATTAAAAATTGCAAACATTATTTTAAGAATGTATTTTAAATGTATATCTTATTTTATATTATTTAACTCATATGAAGGACTTTCTAGCAGCGTGGTAAAATGTAAAAGTGCCATTAATTCTTCTACTTCCCAATCATCTTCTCTATCCCAATGTTTTTCTTTAATTATGAATGCAGCTTCTAGGCAAAAGCTGTAACACAATTTCAAAATATCTTTGCTTCTACCAGCAGTGTTCACTCCACTTCTTTATGTTATCAGCTTTTCCCAAATACTACCTCAGCATCTCTCAGTGAATTAGTCATAGACTTAATGCCAAAACTATAGCACATGTTTAGTATTTCTAATCATTAGCTATCCATACTCATTAGGGAAATCTACAACTCTAAATATTTTCATATTGCAAGAGTATACATTATGGGTATGCATTTGTAGAAAATAAAATGAGGCTACGAAATGTTTCTAATCATTCTAAGAACTTTCTGTTCTATCAAATGTTACAATAATGTCCCATATCACCACCACTATATCGCTATGGTATCCAATTTTAATAATTTTGTTATATAATTATATATCTAAACATAAATGCACAAAATATGATTTTTATGTATTAAAGTTCCCCCAACTTGTTTTCCTACTGCAAGTGAATAAAATATTTATACTGTACAGCAGGTAGTTCACCTCTAAATTTCTATGCTATGTTATCTATAGTCAAAACTGGCAAATTACACATCTCAGGGATGAGGGACTCTGACAGCAATTACAAGAGAGCTTTCAGGGGCTGGGGATTTAGCTCAGAGGCAAAGCGCCTGCCTGGCAAGCGCAAGGTCGTGAGTTCGGTTCCCAGTACCGGAGGGGGGGAAAAAAAAAAAAAAAACAAAAACGAGAGCTTTCATAAAGATTAGTTTAATTATATTCAATTATTCCTCAAAGTTATACTTCCATTAGAACCATGGCTCGTGATTTGATGCTATTCATACTTAAATATGATATGAAAAAAATAATGTGAAGAAAGCTGAGGCAGAAATGTTGTCAAGTCAGGAGAAAATATATATAGCAAATGACATACTGGAACATCTAACTGGCTAATCAAGAGATATATGGATCCACTTTTAAAAGCAGTGAATTTTACTGTAGATCAAATGTTATTGTGTGACAATTAAAAAAAAAAAAATCTTACAGAGTTATATAATAGAACAATGATATAAGTACTGACAGCAAAGCTGGGCAGTCCCAGGGAGGCAGGATTTCCAGGACAATTTTGAGAAGTATTACTCCTATAACCTGAGCTGTAACTCACCAAGAAATAAGATGTGGGAGTTTGTACATTCAGGCAGAACACAAGTTCATTCATTACCCTTTTATTGTGTCTTTACTATCGTCTTGATGATAAAGAATGAAAAGCTATGGTCCCTTAAGAAACAGTACAGTATACTGGGAGAAAATTTTGGAAAAATAACTCTAATACAATGTGATGATGCTCCAAAAAATGTACAGTGTAGAAATTTGAAAAAACACTAGGTTTCATACAGGAAGTAGCGTGCACACATCAAGACTTGAAGTTTGAGTAAGAGAAGAAGAAAGGGAAAATGTCTACCAGAAAATAGGAAGAATGAGTACAAAGGGTCTAGAAAATGGGAAGACAAAGGTCGGTTTGTCTAGATTTGGGGTGAATCCTCTAGGACATGATAGCAGACTTCTTAGAGACCAAGTGCCCAAACTGCAACCCCAAACCCACTTATTTATCACAAAGTGTCAATGCTGAAATTAAACCTGAATGCTGAGGTTTTAGTTTAGAAAAAACAACTGTTATCTAATGCTCAGCTGCTAGGGTGACTTGGCTTGTGTGCCTACGGAGAGGGCTCTGCACACCTGCTACGGCATGTGTAACACAGGTTTGCCACTACTGTTCTAGGATAAGGATAATTAGTACATAATCAATAATCTTCTATTTACTTATTCTAATTTGCCATATGATGTAGCATTTAACCTATCGTAAAATCCACTGCTTTTAAAAATGAATCCTAACTACGAGTGGTGGCACACGCCTGTCATCCCAGCATTTCAGAGGCTGAGGCAAGATCGCTGTTAAGTTCGAGGCCAGCCTAGACTGCATAGTGAGACCCTATCTAAAAAGAAAAAACAAAAGTGGATCTTTACATTTCTTGGTTTTTAATTAGATATCCCAATCTGCCACCCATTATGCATATTTTCCTACTGAACCTGACAAAATCATTTCTACCTCAGCTTTCTCACGTTACATGTTCATCTCAACTTGGAATACAAATAGCATGAAACCACAAGCCATGGTCTACTGCAGGCACAGCACTGGGGTATAACTGAATATAAGTAACTGATCACTGAAATACCTCTCGTGATGAGTCTGTGTCCCTCATCCTTAATTAAAAGTTTGTCTAGCAAAGTGGGAGTAAGGGCAGCGAGTAGAGTCAGAGTGGACAGAGACGCTTCACAGGGCCACAACCAACTCTGACTGCACTAAGGTGCTGATGCAGACTTCTGTATACTCAAGGTCAAAGAGCGGGAAGCACCAGCAGGGTTCTGTCATCAATCTGTCATTAAATCAGTTTCGAGAGTGTTATTATTTCATATATTTGCCCTCACTCTCAATTGCCCTAAACATCAAGAACCACTACTAGTTACGTGAATCCCTCTCTGAATTAAGAAGGTATCTGAATTTTTATGACTTTTTTTTTTTGACATCTAAGTAAAGGAAGTTATGGTTATTCTTTAACAACGATGGAGACAGCATCTATGCAATCTTTTATTTCAATGGTTAGGTGCGAATGGAACTGATTACTTAGCTCTGATTGTTCTCTATTCTCTTATTCAATCAGTTTCTTTTAGCTCATTAGGCTTGCTGGAATCAAATTTCCATTGACATTAGTACTGAGAAGAACACCTTTTTCTTAAATCAGAGGGCTTTTCCTTATAAACTTACTTCCTCTGCAGAAGAATGAGTCAATCTACCTACTGGTGAATGGCCTTTCAAAAGAAAATACTTGTGTCCCACAAAATCAGAAAAGCAAAGGAACCATGGAACAGAAAAAAGGGTGCGGCACTCACCTTCCACACTCTCAGTTCTCTCAGCTTTACTCAGATCTTCATATCCCTGTGCAGACCCCAGATCTTTATCCATTCTTTCTTTATCCAAGGCTAGAGAGTCTCGGGAAGAGCCCTCTAGGTCTCTTTCATGTTCATTATCCAATTTTAATTCACTGCGTTTCATAGACTCTATTTGAGAAGAACTCTCAAAAGTTCTTTCTCTTTCTCTGTCTCTGTCAAGAGAATCAGGAATTAGTCTCTCTCTCTCCCTGTCCAAGTCTCTCCGTTTGTCTCGGTCTCTCTCTCGTTCCCGCAATCTATCACGATCTCTGGTCCTTGACCAATCTTTATCAGTTTCTCGGTCCCAATCTCTTGGCCTTGTGTCTCTCCTCTCTCTCTCCCGCTCTCTATCATGTTCATATCGATCTCGTTCTTGAAGTCTATCTCTGCTGTCAAACGACCCAGATCTTGAATGGACTTGCCGATCTGACTCAGGAGAACTTCTTCTTGAACTATGGCTTCGTGAATCCTGGCGATCTAAATTAAAAATGCCATACACAAAAAGTTAACATATGGTAAAATAAAAACAAAATAATTAAGGCCCTTGAAATTTTACAAGTAATCTTCTGTATCATACATATTTTTCAGTATTTAATATTCTTGTTACATATTATTATTATATTTATATAAAGTATACTATTATACATTTCTTTCTCTAAATAACTTATTTTAAGGGGAAATTTCTTTCTTGATTAAAGTGGTAAATGAAAGTTTTCATAGCTGGGCATGGTGCTGCATATTGTAGTCTTAGCACTCTGAAGGCCAAGGCAGGAGGCTGCAAGTCTGAGACCAGCCTGGAACCAGCAACCTGGACCCTGCCTCAAAAACATAAAAAGGGCTGTAGATATAGATCAGTGTGAAGGCCTTGGGCTCAATTCCCAGTGTGTGTTTGGCGGAAGAGTCTTTCATGTGTATTTCTACTACAGGTACAAGATATCTTAAAAAAATAAGTAAATTAAGTTGGTTAGGCATTACTAAACTGATTACTTCACTCTCTGACCTCTCCTTACTCCTTATTTCCTGTGGTTGAAGAGGCAGCGTAGGCTACAGAAAAGATAACAAGAACGTTGGTGTTGCAGGTTTTACATCAGAACTTGAAAACATAAGCCTCTGATCAAGACATTATCACTAAAATTGTGATATTAAACTAGTGACACTGCGATAATGTTGGCATGAAAAAGTTAACAGGTGAGATTTTAATAGGTATCATGGCCTTTTTTAAAGTTCCACAGAATTTAAGGAAATACAAAGTAACCAATTTAGCATTGCTTTAGAATTATAATTTGTATAAAGTATACTAACATAAGAAACACTGATTAGATCATAATTCAACTCTATTACCTGAAGAAGTACTTCGGTTGGGTTCTCCACGCTTTAACTGATCAATCCTAGATTTTCTCTCTCCCGTGATTTCCAGGCTTTTTGTTTTTTCTCTATCTCTTGAGCCACTATGTAGCACTCTCTTCCGACTACCTTGGTCATCCCCACTCCGATGGGCAGAATCGTTGGACGGAGAGCGCAAGCGACCAGAGGTGTGACTACGATTACTCCGATTGCTCCCAAGGCTGCTGCTCCTCTTTTGATCCAGCGGCTTGCGATGTGGTGTATCTTCCATAGTCATGTGAGGTGCCTCTACTTTCTCCACCCGTGTTCTGTGGCATTTTCTATGTGAGTCTTCACTGGCAAAAGGAGCATTGCTGCTGTTGATGGAGGTGGCAGAGGTGGGCATGGCACCACAGGTGGTGGCAGCTGTAACAGAGGCAAGGGCAGCAGCAGCAGGAGGTGGAGGAGGGAGAAGAGAAGACAGAGGAGAAGGGGTGCTACCAGGAGTAGCAGCAGTGGCAGCACGCTCTGGTTCTGCCATCTCTGTCCGGTCAGGCACATCTTCATCAGACCAGTCACTAAAGGCTGTATCTTCTTTCTTCTGGGGATCCTCTGGTGTGCCATCTTTACCACTGGAAATTTCAATCAGTTCCTCTTTGGTTGTCATAGGCGGAGTCCGTGGGCCCCTTTTCTTTTTACTTTGCTGAACTGCTTCTTCATCAGAAATATCAGAATCACCTTTGGATCTTTTATGTTTTTTTTCAATATTTTTCTTCTTCAGTCCTTTTTTTGGTGAAAAGACTTGAGCATCTTCAGATATTGTCTCAATATTACCTCTCTCTATCCCAATATCGTCCTCTTTCTTTTTCTTGATAGGTTTCTTCTGAAGTTTTGCTTTTTTCTTATTTTCATCATGAGCTCGATCAGACATATCACGATCTTCACACTGGTGGTGGCCCACCATGTCTTGTACACGTGCTCTTGAGCTTTCTAAAAGTTCTGCCTGTTCCCTCTGTTTATCTACAGAAGAAACTTTCTCTTTGAGTTCTTGCTCCTCATAGCGCCTTGAACTCTCTTTTCTTTCCAGTTTACGGTCCTCCTCTTTCCATCTTCCTTGCCTGTCTTCTGTGAGGTGTGACGGGCTGAGAGAACGAGATTCTTGTGGTCGGACAACCTGGCTCAAGAGCCTATGTTTTTCATCTATGCAAAAATAAAAGTAATCACATTTTCCTCAGGTTAATAAGCATAGTACATTATACTTAAAGACAGGAAGATAAATCTCTCATTTATCCTTTTAAAACTTTTAAAATGGCAATTTCAGTAAGATAAAAATTTGGCTTTAATTAAAAATAGAAAAAGAGCTACTGTGATAAGATGACTGTGTTTCTAACACACTTAGTCATAAAAGGAACTACTTATCAGACTAAAACTTCTTAAAAAATCTTAATTTATTGGTTCCAGTTTGTCAAAAAAATGGTCTCATGGTTACAACTATACATGAATACAGAGACACAGAAACAGACTGTGCTTACTTTTATCATCTCCACTGTTGTAAGTGTCACTGTCAGGAGAATGTTCACGCCGGCGCTTAGGTGACTGCCGAGGGCTGGGACTCCCTTCATTTCTATAGCGCTTCCTAAATTGGGCAAGCCAATGTAATTTTAAAAATTCTAGAAGATGAAAATGATTACTATGTTTTTTATTAATCTTTTTTTTTTTTTACTATAACCAGAACTTATAGTTGTAGCAAATACTCTCAGAACTCTATCCTACAAATGGTATTTAGTACCTTTAATAAAAAATTCTTACACTATTTGCTAATGTTTACAATTGTGAAGTTGAAATACAAAGCAATATTTCTTTCATTACACGTAGACTCACTTGAGTGAAAATTGCCAGATTTAAATACTGCAAGTTGGAAACACACAACGAACAAATCAATTAATTAATGTACTCTCCAATATAAACATTCATCAGTTTACATGTCTATTAAACAGAAACACCTTTTGCAAGGAAGATGGATGAAAAAAGCTAGTATTATTTTTGGAGTAAAAACGCTGTGAGTTCAACTTAGGGCCACACTGTTCATTACACAACTGTAAGTAAGGTCCTTGAATCGTAGCTTTCTCATCTGAAATTAGGCGGGAAAATGTAAGTCCCTTCCCATGAAACTGCAGTGAATAAATTAGTTACATTATAAACCCAGTGGGAGGCATGTTACAGGCACACTGAAAAAAGATTTTAATTCCTTTCCCGTTGTTAGAGCAAGAGCACTTGCTTGATGACAAACTAATAAAGCAATTCATACATTATCATTCTATTTCTCATTAGTTGATCTTTAAATCAGTAATGATTTATATATCTTGGGTATTTGAATTACCCCAGTGTTTTTTATATTTTCATTAAACTTTGACCCCTTATTTTTTTTTTAACTAACATTGTTTGTTTCTAAATATTAGTCAAAAACTGAGACACATGTATCTCCCAGACAGCTCCTTTATAGATGAGTAATCATATGGAGGCAGCAGCCCCAGGTGCCATATGACAACTCACAGGTTCCAACTTGTGCAATCCTTCATCTAAAGCACTCCCTCTAACAGGTGGCCTACTTCCTCATTTTTAAATCCCAAGCTTATTTAGTGACTTGCTATATGATGAGATGTGGTGAAAGTTATGCTATGTGACTCCAGAGACCTTGAAACTACTGGTTTTACTCTCCTGGTATGCTTTACTACTACATGCAAATGCAAGTTTACACTCCTGAAAGTTTGTTTATCTTTTATTACTAGTGCAAGGAATGTCATAGAAGAAGGCTCTGCTTCTGCATTGTGTTGTTTGTTCATAACCATAATTCACAGTAACAATGATGAAAACCTGGTTTAGCCACTCACTGGCTACTTAACTAACAAAAATCTGAACACAGAAAGGGATGCTAAGCTGACAGGTATAACTACGTGGCCATCTGAGCCATTATATGGATAAAATATTTCTAAAACTGGAACTATCAACAGTGGAGAGATACTAGTCCCAGTGCTTTGAGAGTATGAACATAGCCAGATTGGAAAAAGAAAAAACCAACTCTCAACTTCCCAGATAACTAAGAAAGTAAATTCTGGGGGAGGAAGGGGAAGGAAAAGGAAGGGGAGAAGAAGAAAAAGGAGAGGGAAAGAGACAGGGTGGGAGAGGGAGGGAGACAGAGATCAAATATATTACATAAAATATGAAGAACATATTTTTTGACCCCCAATAGCCTCCTCCACAGCACAAGAAAGGATATCTCCTTATCTGTCATCTTTTAGCCAGCCATGCAGTGATTATAGGAATTCCTTTAGTTCCCAAAACACTATGAATGCTTCTTATGGCCTGGAGGTACTGACTCCATGCATACAAGCATATAAAACTCAGGAATGGTATAGGCACTACTTTTGGTTACTAGTCAACATCATTAACTAGTAAAGGATGTGACAGAATACAAGTTCACTATCACTTTTATATTGGATTCCTGCTATGACAAAGTCTGCAGAGGTCAAGAAAACCCACATGCCATCAAAAAACAAGAGTAACAAGAAAGATGGTCTGGATGCACTGTGGTTTGTCCCCTGAAGGAAGGCTCATGTGCTGGAGGTTTGACCCTCAGGTGGCAGTGTTGAAGCCATAGAACCTTCAAGACAAGGGGCCTAGAACAATTTGCTTTGTCACTGGGAACATGACCCTCAGAATGAATTCATGTTTGTCTCATAGACTGAGTTTAGTGGATTATTCTTCTGCATGCAGCTGGTTCCTGTTCTGCTTATTCACCACATTATGAAGATAGACCCTTAACAGAGGCTGAACAGATAGGGGTTGGCTACCTACTCTTGCACTCTCAGCTTCCAAAACTATGAGCTAAATAAACCTTTTTCTTTACATTACCCAGTCTGAGGTATTTTGTTATGGCAACAGTAAACAGACTAATAGTCCCTGGACTCAAAATTTAAAAATTATTTTTCCTAGACAATTAAAGACTACACTCCAAACATACATTTATATGTAAACACAAAATAAAAAATTTGAAACACAGGAACATGCAAAGAAAAGGATTTAACAGGAAATTACAGAGCACACTAAGAAACATTAGAGACTTCTGAGTTCTTTACTGAAATGTACCTTTAAGAAGGTACACACTTCATCCATACTCATGCTTACTTTGATTTTCTTTCATCATGTCCATCTCTTGGGTTTCGATCTTCTCGCATATCTTCTCGCTTTTCTCTGCGGTCATCTCGTCCCTTGTCCTTTTCTTCCCAATCCCGCTGACGCTCTCGTTCTTTCTCCCTTTCCCTTGCTCTTTCTCGTTCCCGTTCTCTCTCTCTTTCCCGTTCTCGTTCTCTCTCCCTTTCTTCTCTCTCTCGCTCTCGTTCTTTTTCCCTCTCTCGTTCTCTCTCTCTTTCCCTTTCTCGGTCATGGTCACGATCTCTCTCCCTTTCACGGTCTCTCTCTTTTTCTCTTTCTCTTTCCCTCTCCCGCTCTCTGGCTCGCTCTCTTTCTAGTTCTCTTTCTTTTTCTCTTTCCCGCTCCCGCTCTCTCTCCCGTTCCCTGTCTCGCTCTCGTTCTCTATCTCTTTCTCTAGCCCTTTCATCTCTTCTATCATCCACTCTGTCTACTCTTCGTTCCTCTCTTCTTTCATCACGCTCAAGCTCGTCATTCCTTCCCTGATGTCGAACTGGTGAGCTTGGTCTTTGATCTACAATGAAAATCAAGTTTTGTGAGTGATTAATTTGACACATAACCTATGGGTAAGAGAACATGGCAAATCTTAAATTTTATCTGTATATAGGGTCACCCTGGCAACAAAATAAAAATTAGGTACTACCTTTACTTTTAATTTAATCATCCAAATAACAATCACCTCTAGACCTTTTCAAAATATTTTCTTAAATATAATTTTCACTTGCCCACTAAGTACCATTTTCTGCTTCCAATCAACCTCCCCGCTACCACTGATCCACCTTTTGAGCTTCCTCTGCATGCCCCCTACCCTACCTCCAGCCCACTGCTCCAACCCCACTTTCTGCCATCTCTACCCTTCACCTCTGATCTTCTCTGTACCCCCAGCAGGACCTGAGAACACTGGTGGCAAAAGATAGGGGCAGCAGGAGGTGTAGAACATAGGAGCTGAAGGAAAAAAAAAATTTCCCTCGTAAGTCACACCTCTAATTTTAGGCCAAAATATATACACATCAAAGTGCAACTATTACGTGAGAAAAATATAGTAGAACAAAACTGAACTAGAATTAAGGGTACTGATGTCTAACAATCAAATGTAAAAAGTGTTTTGTATTAGTCATAATAGTTATAATTAATAACTAATAAAAAGTTTTAAATGATTACTCAGATGAAGAGCTGTTTTCTAGAAGAAAAGTTAACTGATAATTCCATTGCACTTTATATATATTTATTTTTTTCCAATCTATACACAAATCACATAAACACAGAGAAAATGAATATATGCTATCTAAATGCCTATTTGAACAGGAAATTAGTCTGGGATCAAAAAATGTGTAAGAGGATGGCATGAATTTCTCCAAAGACCTATTTTTGAAAGTAACTACTATGGTACAGACCTAGGCTACTATGATGTTTCTACTTTCATACTATGTAATAATGTCCATGGATTAACTGATAAAGATCAAACTATACTATTTCAAATAAGCTGACAATGTTCCATTTGTCAACATTTAAGCAAGATAATTCTGGAATATTTCTCATGAAGTGTTTGACACAGCAACTTAAAATTCCCTTCCTCATCAATGACAAAAAAGACAAGGCATCCATATTTACTATTTAGATTATAGATCCCACTAGATCCCACCTCTCTAAGATTTAAAGTTCATGGAACTTTAAAGCTAAAATAAAATAAAACCCTGTTCAATCTTTTCTCCCTCTTTCTTCTTAAAAACAGAAATTATAGTGCACAGGTGACTTTGGTGACTTGCCAGATACTGAGATAGTAGATGCATTAGTACATCAGGACTAGAAGTGTGTTTTTCTTAGACCTCTTCACTTTGCTAAAATCAATTTAAATTTAAAATGGTTCTGTATCACATTCCGTTACCCCCAAAATGCTGTCTGAATCCTTGGTTTGGGAACCACAACCAAAATCACAATTACAAAATAACCTGAAATAAAATTAATACTGAAATTTGCTGTAGTTCATACTTAAAATCTGTGAAAATACACCTGTATCAAGGAATAAACTGCTGTACTTCATTCAGACACTTTCTTGGGAGTTAAAACCTCTATTTCCCCAACCAAAATAACAATGGCCCTTATTTCAAAGGAAAACAGAAAGGTTAAGAATGTGTCTAACACATCTAAGCTGTGTTCCCTGTCTTTCCCTCAAAATGTCTCTTCAAGATGTGCATCTCATCTATTTTCTTATTATAATGAATGGCATAACTCTTCACACAAACTGGCTACACCACTGTACCTTTACTTCCAGAATATTTCTTTCTTTTCCTGTTCCCATCTCTACACTAGCACACTAATTTACAGTTAGGTCTTCTCAGATGACTATGTCATCAACAGTCTAATTGGTTGGCATCTTCATCTTAACGTGTTTCCAATGTAAACTATTTCATGCATCTCCTTAAATGCTGCTATGTGTAAGCAGTGAAAAGCAATTAAATTCAAAATTTTAACACTGAATTATTAGGTTATTTACAAACTAGCCTACAGTCTCTCAGTTCTTTTCCCCAATTCTTTCCGTCTCCACCAATTACAGCGTACCTTTCCAACCTCAAAATATAACTCTTTACTCTGAAGCATGTGTTTCTTTCACTTCTGTGTATCTACTTAAGCTATACCTCTCCCTGTAAAATACTTCTTTAGTCATTTCTTCCAGCAAACATATGTATTATTTGGCCCTAATTCAGATACCCTCTTTAATTAAACCAGCTTTCTTCAAATCCCTCAGAATTGTGTTTGCTCCTTTGTTTTCTTACAGAACTCCATAAAGTAGTAGCAATTACCACATTTAATTGTTTATCACCATTAAACTGCAAAGGTCAGATTTAAAGGGAAGTTTAAATCCTTGAGCACAGCACAAGGTATTTGACTGGGCACACCTTCTACCCCCAACCTTTATCAACCTCCTGAATGCTCATTCTAGCTACATTAATCACCTTTCATTTCTAAGACATGTTAGGTTAGTTCCCATCTCTGGGAATTTGCACCTAGTCTTTCCTCTCCAAAGAATGCTCCTATACTTAAATCTTTGCAAAGCTAGTTGTTTCTCCTACATTTGCGCTTTTGTAGAAATGTCATTTCCTCAATTTTTTTCATAAGCATTCTGATGTAGGTACTCTTACTTATTTCTATCTGGATCCCTTGTTTCCTTGATAGCTTCATAAATCTTTCTTTTTTGTGGAGACGGGTTTATCTCTCCACCTCATTAAGATCTATAAGGACAAGAAATATTGTGTTCCAGTGCTTAGCCAAGTGCCTGGCATGGGTACTCAATACATATTTGTAGACTATATCATTAAGCTAAAAATGTTTTCATTTTAATCATAACACTGATACTTATTTAAGTAGTTATAGAAAAATAAAGTAGAAATTAGACTTATAGTCAGAAGACTTGAATGTGAATTGTAATTCTGGAGTTTACAATCTGTAATACTAAAAAGTTATTTTTCTTAGGTCAAACTCTTCTTTAATTGTGAAACATGGATAACTTTACATATTTACAGTCAAAGAGATAAGGTAAAGACAAGTCAAAGATATATATATATATGTAAAGCAACTACCAAAATTTGTGGCACCTAGTAGGAGCTTAGTATGTGTAGCTGAGCTAAACACAAGATTTAAACCAAATATTACTGCTAAATTCAGGCATAAACCTGAGCAAGGATATGAAAATGAAAAAAAGTAGTAGAACATAGTATTAAAGAAAGACTGTCAAAATGCTGAGAAAGAAATAATTTCAGAAACAAATCCCTACCTATAATTGAGGAAATACCACACATCTTTTAATATAAATGTATTAGGCTCACCTTTAACAAATTCAACTCAATCAACTCTTCTGCCCCAACCCTATCTAGCTCCCAAACATAGATGTTATCTTACAGACTCTGTTATCTCATTTCTACTCATAGCAAGACACTTTATTATATCTTTCATTTAGCCTACAGTAAAGCACAAATGTTCAATTCTCTGGTCTATTAAACTTCACCTTAGTATCAGTGTTATAATGAATCTTGCTTTTAGTAAGCAGCCAAAGTTAGCGAGATCTTAAGATTTTAAATGTTTAAGGCCTTAATTTGTACAGACAATAAAAGCTTGCAAAGAAAATAATTATAACCCTTAAGTACTTAGTACTCTTGCTTCAAAATTTTTCTAAGAGATCACCTAATAGATTAACAGAACACTTTAAACTTTAGCTTAAGACATACAAGAACATAAAATTAGCTAAAGCAAATATATACTGTCAGAACAGAATATGAATAAAATGTTTCAAGGAACAATCCTCAGGGCTATCACCATTTTTTTTAATGTTCTCTTGCAGTTCTTATATGAGTCTACTGGTAGTTTAGGTATTTCTAGAATCAGAACAGCCTGAGATGGCACTCAATCTCCACATTCTTTAGAGTTGTTTGCTGTTTGGTGAAAGTGAGAGACACACATAGTAAGGCACCCGAGCTTTTACATTCTGCTATCAGAGGTACTGTTAGATAGCTAGCTCCCTAATTCATTCTACCCCAACCAAACAAGGAAGAGTATATGAATAGTTTTCAATGTATCATCAAGCATAGATCTTAAAAGATATTTTATATTAAAATATAAACTGGCAACCATTTAAAGAACAATTCCCCCAACAGCTATTGGCCCCTATGTAATAAAATTCCACATAACAAACCTCTTTCTCTGTTGTCACGTCGGTCTCTCTCCCCATGTCTTCTCTCGAAGGAAGAGTCCCTTGTTTGATCTCTGCTGTCTCTTTCCGGATATCTGTCTCTCTCAGGGTAGCTACTTCGAGTTTCCCAGCTGTCATGATAGTTGCCACTACTACTGTGACTATCAATTTGAGAGCCTCTGGTTCCCCGGCTTCCTAAACAAAGGATATTCACATACACGTTTAACATATTATTATGGTTTGTGTCTGGATGTCCCCTCAAAGCCTTGCGGGGGGGGGGGCTTTTTGGAGGCCACTAAATCTAGAGTTTGTGATTGGTTCATTATCTAGTGCTGGGGCTGTGGATGTGAGTATTATATGCCTTAGGGTGGGTAGCCTGCATGCAGAACAAGGGAGGAAAAGTGGCTTGCTCCTCCCTTTTGCTATATTTCTGCCGCTGTGAACTATGGTTCCTCTGCCATGAGTCACTGTACCTTAGAGCCAGTGGATTACAGACTGAAACCTCCACAAACTGTGAGCCTTTCTTTAACTTTGTGTGTTGGGTATTTTGTCTCAGCAATGAGAGAAAAGTAAGTAAGATATGCACATACTTTACTCAAGCTCCACCAACCACCTTTTCCTCCTAAAGAAACACTCTAAATTGTTTTTATTTTCTTAAATGTGGTAGTCACTGTTGAAAAGAATACTAAGCTTTGGGTCAGAACACTCCAGTTGCCCACTGACTAACTAGTTGGCTAAATCTGTTTTCCATATCTATGAAAAAGTCATATAATGGCAACATAAAGCCAGAAGACAAACTTAACCCAAAAAGCAACAAAACAAACACAAAAACATTTCCTCATATCTAATTTTAGATTATGGTGAAAATATCCCAATACAGAACCAAAACAATTTGGTGACATGAAGTAGTATCTGAAAATTTTCACTAAGATGTGGGAAACAAATGTCTTTAGTAGCTTTATTCATAATATCTTCAAACTGGAAAGTACTCAAAAGTTTTTCAGTGGTAAATTGTCAGATAGCAGCACATCTGTACTATGGAACAGTACTCAGCAGTAAAAAACCCACTACTGACGGACACGATAATCTGAATGAATTACAAGATAATGCTAAGTAAAAAAGCCAATGTGAATCCAAGGGTGGTAGTACACATCTGTGATCCCACTCAGAAGGCTGAAGGAGGAGAATCACTGTGAATTCAAGCCTAGCCTGGGTTACACAGTGAATTCAAGGTCAGCCTGAACCACATAGTAAGATCCTATCTCAAACAACCGAAAAACCAATCAACCAAACAAAACAACAACAAACCATGTCAACAGAATACATAAAGTTTGACTTTATTTCTGACATATTCATGGAAAAAAAATGTAAGATATACGAAATGGCTCAGGTATAGGAGAAAAGTATGGGTTTAGCTATAAAAGCCTGTAAGAACAAGAGAATTTTTATGTTGCACATGAGTGGTGAGTGTCTTTTTTTTTCCTTGAGATGGTCTCACTATACTGCCCAGGCTGGCCTCAAGCGGTCCTCTTTTCTCAGCCTCTTGAGTACTGGGAACAGGGTGTATGCTACCACGCGTGGCTCAGATGAATATCTTGATGCAGAGCAGGCAATACAATGCTACATGTGATAGAGGCACACAGAATTACAAACACACATAAAACACACACACAAGTGCATTTATAACTAGTGAAATCTGAATAAACTCTATAGATTACACCAGTATTCATCTCTTGGTTTCAATACCGTACCATAAGTAAGATGGTAATGTGTTAACAATGGGAAAGCTGAGGTAGGGTATAAAGAGCATCCCTATACACTTCTTTGCAACCTCCTGTGAATATCTAATTAGTTTAAAATATACTTTTCAAAAAAATTAAATTTAGCCAGGCGTGGTGGTGCATGCCTGTAATCCCAGCACTCAGGAGGCTAAGGTAGGAAGATCGTTGAGAGTTCGAGACCAGCCTCGACTGCAAAGTGAGCTCAAGGCCAGCCTGAACTACATGTGAAACCCTGTCTCAAAAAGACAAAAAACAAATAAATAAATAAAAAATAAATTTATAAGGGGATGTACTAAGGGCCAGAGAACGGGAAGTGATACTGGGGCTGTGATAATCCAGTAATGCTTGGCAAAAACAAAGGCAAAATCCCTGGATGGTTCTGCCTTCAACCTCATAGAAATACAATTCTATTCTATAAATTTGGAGCTCACTCCAAATTTAAAAGAACACATAAAAACCCAACCATAAAAAGCAACAACTGGACGATACCTCCCTAAGACTCTCTAGCACTTTCTCTTTCTCCCAGAATTTACATAGAACAGATTTTAAGCCCTAAAGTAATTGCAGCATAATTCTAAATAATACAAGAGGATATTTTAATAATCTTAAGAATATTTTAATAAAGACCTTAAAAATATATATATTAGAAACACTAAAAAATAATAAAAGTGTTATATACAACATCAACGAATGAAAAGGTTAAATATCAGATTAGATGCACTGAAGAGAAAAATAGTAAGCTAAGTCTAAGGATATGAAAAATGTGAAAGTTAAGAATGAAGAAGGTACAATAATGCTATTCAACATGTGCAATAACTATATGTTCCTTAGAGTTACATTTAAAACAAAAAATATACAGAAAAAGTTGAAAGCATGGCAAAGGATATATCAAACACATACTAATCAAAAAAGAACAGTCAGCAAAATAACCTTCAAGACAAAAAGCACTATCAAAGATAAAGAGTCATTCTATAATGATGCAAGGAATAGTTTATCTTATGCATATCTAATAAGGCCTCAAAAGATTCAAATTTTTAAAAACTGACCAAACTACAAGAAATCAACAAATCCACAATTCCAGAATAACAGAAGATTTAATTCACCTATCTGTAATGAAAAAACAGACTCTAAAAAAAATTAGATATTAACAAACTGATCTTAGCAACACTCTGCATCCAACTAGTAAAAACATAAGCACATGCAGAACATTTACAAAATCTGACCGCTGAGCCACATAATAAGATTTAACAAACACATATACCAAAGAACTGATTTTTTAAAAATGTATTATTTGACAACAATGAAAATGGAGGGAGAGGAATTATTAAAAGCCTTACTGTAAATTTAAAACTCAATTTCTACATAACTGAGGGGTTAAAGAATAAATTATTAAAATGTAGTGTTTAGAATGGCTACTAATAGAAATAGTACATATTTCACAAGAGTAAAACATAACAGACATTAATGGAGGACAAAAGAGACAAAGAGAAATTAAAAAAAAAACAACTAAATAGCATTTCTTCTTTGAAAAGACTCAAAGGTCACAAACCTTTGGAATGATTGATCAAGAAAAAAAGGGAATATATTACAACAATAAAAGAGATCTTTAAAAGTGAATTTAGGAACACCTTTCTGTCAAAAATTTGAGACAAATTTCCTACAGGGCAGGAAAACGAACTGTTTCCAGAAGATACAAAATCTACACATATTAGAAAAATGCATTTGTTGGTAAAATCTCTAACCATCAAACAAGCGTCACCAAGCTTTTGAAGAACATGTAACTATATGTAGATTGTTTCAAAGAGAAAACAAGAAGTGATATTTACATGGCTAGCTTTACTGGATCTCAACTCAAAGAACAATATAAAAACAAAAAAAACAACACACACACACATACACACACACACACACACACACACACACACACACACGATTGCTAAAACTGCTTCACACTGGTTCATCGCCCGTGGTGGCACTCTCCTCCCAACTCCACAGAGTGACAACATGTTGGCAGCTCAAAATCTGCTGTGGTAGGAATTATCTCTACCACAGGAACTGAAAAAAGGTAAAGTTGTGCCTTTCTTCTGAACAGTTAAACATTTATCACTGTATAGTGCCAGTGATGGAATGACAATTTCAAAAACATACATGTTTAATTCAAAATTAAATTTTAACAAACATTCTAGAACTTCAAAAAAATGACAAAATTGCATTTATCTCAGGAATGCAAGGGTAATTAAATAAGACAAACTATATGATCTTCAAAATAAAGAGAAAAGACAATCTACTAGCCAAATTGGGAAAATTAGAACTCAACACAATAAAAAGCGCCTTCAAAAATTTCACACCAGCAACAATAGTTTAAAGTTGAAAGCAAAGCAAAACCATTCTATTTATATTCAACACTGTACAATACTGACAGAAATGCTGTTGTAGTCATTTTTCTCATGGCTAGGACAAAATACCCAGTACCCGTAACTTCAAGGAGGGGTTTCTTTTGGCTCATGTTTTAGAAGCTTCAGCTCGTGCATGGCTGGCAGTGTGGTGGCAGGGCCTAGGCAGTGGAAAACTACTCATGCCAAGATGGCCAGAAAGCAGCACACGAAGGGAAGAGCCAAAGGCAGGAGCCAGAGAGGGAGATACAGTACAGTAATAAAACCTACTATATCCTCTCAGTAACCTGCCTCTTTCAACCAGGCCCACCTTCTAACACCAAGCCAGCCAGAACACCCTTATGACCAATCTGCTTCACAAGAAACTGCTGAGCACAGGAGGCTTTGGGGGATTATCTTGACATAAGCCATAGCATGCTACCCAAGTTACTGACAGAAAATAACAATCAGAAATGAAGTGCCACGTCTGTCTGTTCTACATATATTAAAAGAATTTAGTTAGATCTATTAGGAAAACAGAACATCTCTTGCAATTAATATAAAAATATTAATTACCATTTCCATGTATCAGCAATAAGCATTAGAAAATGTAATGTTTTAAAAGGCTTCATTTAGTACATATGTACACTGTTATTCACTACAAAAGTACTGTCTGAAAAAGATTAGAAAACATAATGGACACACACATTTGCTTGTATCAAATGTTTTGGGAAGGATACACACAAAACTGGAAAAGAATGGCCTATGATATAAAAGTAGAAGCTTTTTACTAATAACTTTTTGTACCTCTGAAATTTTGAACCATATGAATGCATTATTTTAAAATTTATCTTAAAAATACATATATATGTGTATGTGTACATATATACTAATGGGAAAAATATAAATCAACAAATACATTTGAAATAAAAATCTAATAATTTTTCATGAAATTAAAATTGTTTTCTAAAATTTACATGAAAAAGTAAAGGACCAAGAAAAGTCAAAACAATTATGAAGAAGCTGAGGGAAAATGAACACTTAAATGTGAAGCAATAATACTGATCAGGGGTAGATCAACAAGTCAATGAAAAGGATAGGAGTAACACAAATTCTGCAGCACTGTCTGAGGGGGTGCAAATAGAGAAAGGTGTGGCTGAAGGAAGAAGTTCAAGTTAACTGTCATGAATAATGCTAAAGTCATCTGGGTGTTAGTAAACATTTTCTCAGGAAAAAAGTGGCTCAAGATGCCAATAAAATATGTGATTGTTTAAAGCAAGTGCTAATAATGAATACATAAATCAGTCTTTATGACACCAGCAATTTTGAAAATATGCTACTTTAACTATTTTCATGATTATTTTTTATGTAATACCAGTTCATTAGAAATTACTTCTAATTCTAATGTTCAGCTTGATAGTAATTTTCCTAAGTATTCCAAGATAGCGGGCATGACTGGATATAATCCAACAAAGGTGTATATAATCCATTCTGGTGACCCTGTGTTTTGCTACTTAATAATTCTAATATTGAATTTATAGGGAAAATCACAAATTCAATTAATTGAAAATTACTTTCACAAAATAACAATAAATGTAAGAAATTATGTATTTAGAAAAGAAGTCTTAGGAGGCTTAATATTTTCTATATGAATATACAAGATACAGAAATACAGGCATACCAATGTTTACAGAAGCACAATTCAAAAGAGTGAAATCCTGGAAGCAGTCGACATGTTTATCAACAGATGAATGGATAAAGAAAATGTAGTATCTATATATAATGGAATTCTACTTGGCCATAAAGAAGAATAAATTTAGACGTAGGAAAATGGGTACACCTGGAAAATATAATGTTAAATGAAATAAACCAGACATATAAGCTTAAATATTATATGGTTTCTCTCACTGAAAGTAAAAGTAAAGAGCACAGAAAAAGGCTGATTCTGCAAATGGGAAGGGGTCCAAGAGACTAAGGGTGAGGAGAAGGGACATAAAAAAATTTAAGTTATTTCATGCACATTTACCAAACCTCCACAATGAATGTAAACACTGTACATTGCAAACATGAACTAAAAAGAAAGTAAGAATAAAAATGAAAATGGGGAAAGGTGATCTAGAGACAGAGGAAGATGCCTGGGAAGGGGAATAAAAAGAACCAAGATATGCTGTGTACATGTACCTACTCACTAAGATGAACATAAACTTCACATACTACAAACACGTACTAGTAAAATCTTTTAAAATGACTATATAAGATACAGTTTACTGAAAGTCTAAAAACCTTACCCTTTTCAGGTAACTCTGGACCTCTCACTCTACTTCTGCCCATCCGGTCATTCCTAATTTCACTCCGAGACTCATTTCTGGAATCATTTCTTATTTCAGTACGAGAACTTTCTTCTCTCAAGTGGTTTCTGCCATAACTCCGGGATTCTTCCTGGTACACCTCCTCCTTTCGATGAGTATCTCGACCTTCACGGTCCCGGTAATCGTGGGCATCACGAGTGGACCGAGAGTCTCTGGGATCACGGCTCTCTTTTGTATCTCTGCTATAATCCCTCATCTCCCTAGAGTCCCGGAGGTCTCTGGAGTCTCTCAGTTCCCTGCGTTCTCTAGCATCTCTGGTATCTCTCCGGTCCCGACCATCTCGAGGTTCTCTGTCATCTCTGTGGTCTCTAGAAGAGCTCTGATCCTGTTCATACTCTCGTTCCTCTCTTGTGTCCTTTTCTCGATCCCTTTTGCCTCTAGTTTCTGTAACACAATTTTGCAAATCATCTGTATTCCTTTCAAAAATGTTCAGGAAGCAAGACAATATATTTAATACAGAGCTTTAAAAATTTTATTACAAAAGTAATTCATGTTCTTTGCAGAAAAAAAGAAGAAAACATAGGCAAATAATAGAATTAAAACCATCTGTATGCTAAAATGCAAACAATTTTACTGATACTTGATCCTAAACAACTGAAACAAGTAAATGGATCTGCATCACTGATGACTAAATGTACAGAACCCACTTTTAAATCTGGAGGCATACAACGTTAACCAAATCCACCAAGTATAAAGTAGACCAGGACACATGACCAGCTCACACACACTCAAGCACTGGAGAGTGGTTCACAGTTAGTAAGCTGGCCGACAAAGAAATACTGTTATTCACTTGTCCTCAGCTCTTCTCTTAATAGCCTTTACTGCTATCTTAATGGATTTTGTAATGTATCACAGAACAAATAATTTCATTTTAAAAAACTGAACCTCACTGATTATCTAAACCAAACTATCATTTTATATATCCAGAAACAGAGATCTAGAGATTAGATGGCTTAGTCACTCTCACACCCTCATGGGGATTTGCAAAGATTAGGAATCACTATTTAAATACATCTAGAAAAGGCATAAATTGATTAATCTGACAAGCAGCCAAATATTTATTAAGAATCCCAAAACTTAACCCTGCCTTTCTTTTTTTATTTAATCAAATTATTCTGCAGGCTGCTTGGGAACTGTCCCAATCTGAAGATGTTCTAATAACTATAGCAGCCTTATGCCTAAAATATAAACTTACCTCCTTTTTCTTTGCCCCTTTTAGTTAGGTCCACAGACTTTCTCAAAGACCCAAATACCTGGTATCCAAAGGGCCTTTAGACCCTCACACCAATAACCTATTTCCTTTGCCAAGGCCTTTGTCTATATACTTATATCCATAAATGCTGTTTAAGGACAGAAGAGGCAAGGATCAGACATATCACCATCTCCGTCTCCGTACAATTATGACATCCCCTCCTATAACAAGTCTTAAAATGTATTCATTTAGTACCAGTTTCTTTCTTCATGATGCCCCATCTCCTTACAAATATATCTAATTATTATATTTTATCCTTTATCTACCTAGCCATAATCCCACTGATATTTTGAAGTATTTCTTACTTCAAAAAATTACATCTAAATATAGACTAAACCTGTGCTAAACCTCTTTTATGGAAGGTTAAAGAAACATCCTGTTACTAAAGATTCTTCTTGTTCCGTAAGTGCTTCTATCACACAAGAAGCATTTCTATGACACTCAACTGTATATTATTTTCCTTTTATCATAATATTTCATAATAAAGTTCTTTTTGATAAGCACTCATTAACTGTGTACTACATTCTTGGTCAGCGCTGGTTGTTAAATGTCTTCTTAAAATTAACATATAGGTATAGAGATTTTTCTCTTCTTACCAATGTTCCATAAACACTGCACTAAAGCTACCATCATGTGTTTCATACATATACCATAAACAAAGTTGCACATAGACTACTGCACTGATCTGGTTCCAGAATCATATACATAAGGAATAAGTCTGTAAAGTAGGTTCTTTCTCTGGTCATTACATATATGCACTATTTTCTTCAATAAAAAATTTGATTAAGTACTGCTTGGATTATTAAAAGGAAGCGAGCAACTAAGTTCAGAATCTTTCAGAGAAGACTGATACACTGTACTAACAGTGAGGAGTTTAAAATGCTTATTAAAAAGAAATGTTGCAAGTAAACAAGTATTTACTGAGTATTCACTTCCTTCAAAACGAACTCAGGAGAAATGAAGTAAAGTTAAGTAAACAAAGGTAAGAAGCACAGAAAACGATGAGAGCTGACCGTGAGCATCTCAGCTTGTTTAAGGAGTAGCTTATCTAACACTAACTTAATTCTCAGAACTCTCTGAAGGAAAGTGGCTTTGCTTAATTTATCTTCTTTTTTTATTTTTTCTTTTCAGTACCAATGACAGAACCCAGGGCTTGGCATATCTTAGGAAAGAGCTCTACCAATGAGCTACACCCTTGGTCCTTCTTAAGTCTTTATTATGGATTTACAGCTGAAAATTCAGTAACTTGGTTGCAATGACTTGAAAGTTTCTCCAACCCTAACCTCTTTATTAAAACACTTCTGATGCTTTTAAACTCTTTCCTGATTTGCTGCTTTTCTTCTCTTCACAACCTTTGTTTAAATAACACATTAAGCTGGGTGTGGTGGGCAGGCCTGTAATCCCAGCACTCAGGAGGCTGAGGCAGGAGGACACTGGGAGTTCAAGGGCAGCCTGGTCTACAATAGTAAACCCCTGTCCCCAAAAGACAAAAAATAAGGATACTCAATAACACATTAAGATAATAGAAAGGGGAACTCTAAGAATCAAATAGTCAAAAGTTCTCAGTAAAACAGCCTAATTAAATAAAGGACCAACTCAGCATACCTCTAAATGCCCACTTATTATACTGATTATTTTACATTCCTGTCTTTTCTCATCTCTTGTTGCCTTTAAGAACTCTAGTCCACATGTAACAGAAGACTTCATACAGCACAAAAATTATTATAGTAATAAATATGAATACTGACTTTTTAGTAAAGAAAATATCTACTTAAATAAAAGAACTCTAAAATAACAAGGTGCATACCTTCCCTCCTTTCATGACGCCGATCATGTGACTGTGAGGTCCGCTCATGGTCATGCCTCCCTTTCTCTCTCATTGGAGAGCGATGTCTTGGAGGACTTTGCTTTCTCTGAGGGGAAGACAAACAATGTGAAGGATAAGGAGAAGCAGAACGTCGTAAAGATGGAGTCAACGTCCGTTGATAGGATGGTGAAGGAGTTCTTTTTCGGCGAGGAGAAGGAGAATGTCGTTGAATAGATGATCCTGATTGTGAAGATGATGAGTGATGCCTAGAAGATATAGGAGAATGATGCTGTCCTGCCGGGGAAGTAGATCTATGAGGGTAAAAAGTAAAAAGTTAATTAATTTTTTAAAAACCTATTCAAGAGCCTTCAATTCTAGTCAAAGAAAAACAAAATTGAATGTCAAAGTTAAAGCTAAAGGTACAAGTAATATTTTAGGATAAACTTTAATTCACAATGCTATAAAATGGTAAGTTATTCTTTTAAAGATGTGTCTAATTTGTAAGTCAAGTGGGAGTACTAGCTCTAGAAAAGATACGCAACACCACTCTCCCAAGGTTCCGTGCCAAAACACACTGCTTTTTCAGGGACTATTCTTCCTGAGCAAACACTATCTACTCTAACTTAAAGTATGGAATTTACTATGATAATCTGAAAGTACGAACAGCTACAGAGAAAACATATTTACAATATCTAGGCAGGAAACAGACGGGAAAATGGCTGTAAATTCAAGGTTGTGGGAAAAGGGAAATTACCACAAGTTAAGCCAAACAAAATCTATGCTGCCTGGATTGACATCTTCAACTGTGAAAGAATCCTCGGGTTAAGAAGAGGACAACAAAATATTTGCTACCTTTATCTTAAATAATCATCCTTTTCTTGTGGGTGGCAAATTGAAATTTAGTACATAATTCTTGTTTAACTAAAGCTTCCTTCAAGTCATCTTTCACTCCAACCAGAGAAACTACTTATGATAACACAAAGTACAACTGAATAACTAGTACAGTCTAGTATATAGCCATAGTCTGAGCATGACAGAGATGAAGTACACACATTTAGGTCACAGCTAACAGAAACAAGACTAACGTTTAAAAATAACAATCTAGATATCACATGCCCTGATAATTATCAATGCTTATTTTTTTAAAATTCTGACATTCTAAACAATGTGTTATGGAACTACACTCAGTTCCTTCGATAATGTTTATTTTTAAGATATTTGCAACGACAGCAAAATCGTTATTAACCCTAAATCAAGGTTTCTCAATCTTCGTACTGCTGACATTTTGTATAAAAAAGGGGAGGGGTTATCCTATACATTACAGGATGTTTAGCACCATCCCTGGCCAATACTCACTAGATGTCAGCAGTATCACTTGCACCCTGAGTTGTGACATTACTTCAGTCACCCACAAATATGCCCTAGGAGCCAAAATAACCCTGGATTCAAAACCACAGCTATATATGTCATTTATAAATGCTGCCTTTGTATAGCTTTAAGAAAAGATTTAAAACTATAAAAATATGTTAGTAAGTGAGGTAAATGATCTTAAATATTAGTATTCAAAAGAATTTAGGCAGATAAAAATGGCTTTTGGATAACAGTTGACTAAAAAATAAAAATCTGCTATGTAGATTTACCTAAACACCTAGTGATCTATAATTCCTTCAAATTTTATACTTTTAAAAAATTGTTATTCTTTTTCTAATATAAAAAAGGCATAAATCATTACAATGTAATTGACTGGCATTTATTTACTATTAAATACAAGTAGAAATGCTGAATATTGGGAAACGAATGAATACCATTCAAATATATCCTACTGAACAGGAAAATCTCTATTATCTGGATACTTTTTAATTTCAATTTCATCAAGTGCTAGTCATGTTAGAAATGTCCAAGTCAATAAAATAATATCTTTCCAATGAACTGACACTGAGTTTATTTCTAAAATTATTTCAGGAGTGTCTACAATAGCCTTTCATGATTAGTTCACAAAATGCAAAAGCCAAAATAGTCCACTCATAATTTCTATAAAAAACACATTATGGGTTAATCACATTTCTATTCAAAGCTGGTATCTACAGCATGAAAGAAAAACTTTAAAAATAACCAAGTTATGATACAAGACCAGAACACTAACATGTTGTCAAGCAAAGACTTTATCATTTTAACTTTATTTTTTCCTTAACCGCCTTTGCAGTTTCAGAAAATTGTGAATTTAATTTAAATGTCTTCACATTTTCTTCTCTACTTTTAACTACTCTTTTAAAAGTCTAAGGACTAAGAAGAAAAAAAAGATGCAGGGACTAGGACAAGATGGCTCAAGGCACAGGTGTAAGCCTAACTGGACCTTAGGTCATTGTGCTGTATTAAATAAAATACCACATGATTCCTGACCTCAACCCAAAAAGGTACCATTTTGTATATCTTATAGCCAAAGAGAAAGAGGCTCAGAGTGAACAAGTAAATTGTTCAGGGTCTTGTATCAAATAACTGGCATATCCAAGTAAATTCCCTATTGATGTAACTGAAAGATTTATATATTCTCCATTATACTGAAATTCAAAAGAAAAAAGGAGAGTTACATTTTTCCTGAAGAAATACTAATTTCATGAAAAAATAAATCTGAAGGTGAATCAAAAGTGAACAAGCAAATGTCTTCTTTATCAAATTTGTGAGCATTTCATATATCTTGTGAACCAGGAAAATATCCCTGAGGATAATCATACAAAAATCCTCAAGAAAATACCAGAAAACTGCTTTAAACAGCACATTAAAATAATACACCCAGATCATACAGAATTTACCACTGGAACAAAAGGATGGTACAACATTACAAAAATTGATTAATAAAACCACATTAACAAAATGAAGGAAAAGAATCACTTGGTCATTTAAATTGGTAATCTACACACAAAAAATTTTCAAGTGACAAGATTCAATACCTACTTGTGATTAAAAACACTCAACTCGAAAGAGCCAGAAACTACTTCAACTTAGTCAGAGGCCATTTATACAAAGCCCATAGCTGGTATCTTACTCAACTGAGAAAGACCAAAACTTTGCTTTTAGGACCCAAAACAAAGCAAGGATTTTCCTTTCTGCCAATTTTATTCAACACAGTGTTAAAAAATCTTGGCCAGAACAGTTATATCAGAAAAAAAATAGAAGGGATCCAGGCTGGAAAAGCAGAATGATCTGTTTGCAGATGGTGAGATCTTCTATACAATGAACTAAATTCTATAAAAGCCAAATTCTGTTGGAATAAACAAGTTCAACAAAGTTGAAAGATAAATAAACAACACAAAAAATAATCAGCTGTATTTTTATCAACTACAGTGAACAAATCAATTTACCGCAGCATGAAAAATCATAAAATAGTTAATAAACCTAAATAAGGTGATAATAAAACCTATATACCAAAAACTACCAAATACTGCTGAAAATAACGAAAGACAAAAATAAATAGAAAGATACCCTGTGTTTGTGCATTAGAAGCTGTTCACCTACCTAATGCAATCTACAGAGGCAACAAAATTCCTGTCAAAATCAGAATAGCCTTTACTGCAGAAAATGTCATCCTAAATTTTACATGGAAACTTAAGAAACTCCAAATATCCAAAAATAATTTTGAAAAAGAACAAAGTTTGAGGATTCACACTTCCTGATTTCAAAGCCTGTTACAAAGCTAACAATAAAAAAGTGCAGTATTGACGTAAGGACAGCCATGCAGTCCAATGATACAGCATGCTCAGAAATAAACACTCATGTATGAGGCCAAATGTTCTACGAGGATATCAAGACACTCACAGGGAAAAGAAGAGTCACCTCAACAAATGGTGGTGGCAAAACTAAACATCTATACACAAAAGAATGAAGCTAGGTCCTTATTCAATACCATCTTACAAATACTAACTCAAAATGGATGAAAGATCTAAAGGTAAGAAATACAACTATAAAACTCTTAAAAGCTCCATACATTGGTCTTGCCAAGGATTTCTTAGCTATAACACTGAAATCATACGTTAACAAAAGCATAAACAGATAAATGAGATACCAGATTTTTATACTTCTGTATATCAAAGCACACAATCAACAGTAAAAAGACAGCTTATAAGAATGGGAGAAAAGGGGCTGGGGATTTAGCTCAGCGGCAAAAGCGCCTGCCTGGCAAGCGCAAGGTCGTGAGTTCGGTTCCCGGTACCGGAGAAAAAAACCAAAACCAAAAAAAAAAAAAAAAAAGAATGGGAGAAAATATCTGCAAAACTTATCTCTGAGGGGCTGGGGATTTAGCTCAGCGGCAAAAGCGCCTGCCTGGCAAGCGCAAGGTCGTGAGTTCGGTTCCCGGTACCGGAGAAAAAAACCAAAACCAAAAAAAAAAAAAAGAATGGGAGAAAATATCTGCAAAACTTATCTCTGAGGGGCTGGGGATTTAGCTCAGTGGCAAAAGTGCCTGCCTGGCAAGTGCAAGGTCGTGAGTTCGGTTCCCGGTACCAGAGAAAAACCAAACAAAAAAAACTTATCTCTGGTAAGAGATTTAAGATTGAGAATTTATAAAGAATTTATACATTATTCACAGAAAAACATCAACCCAACAAAAAAAGCATAGAGATCCTAGACATACAGATCTCCAATGACACCTACAAAAAGCCAATGAAAATATAAAAAGATGTTCAAAACTAATCATCAGAGAATTTGAAATCCCATCACAATGTATCACCTCATTCTCATTAGAATGGTTACTGCAGAAAAAAGTATTGGTAAAGATGCTGAGAAATCAGAACCTTTGTGCATCACTGGTGGAAATTTACAATAGGGTAATGGCTACAGAAGACAGTGTGCACATTTCCTCAAAAGCTTAAAACACAGCTATTATCTAAAGGAGCGATCTCATTTTTCTGTTTATATATCCAAAGGAACTGAAAGCAGAATCTCAAAGCAGTACTTGCAGGCCCATGCTTATAGAAGTATTATTCACTACAACCAAAAGGTGAAAGCAACCCAAATGTTCATCAATGGATGAATGAATGAACAAATATGATTTACACCAAAGAATTATTCAGTCTGAAAAACTAAGGAAATTCTGTCATGTGCTAGAACACAAATGAGCCCTAAGGACTTTATGCTAATACTGTATGATTCCATTTATTTGAGGTATGTAAAGTAGTCAAAATCACAACATAGCCGTCGTGGAGGCACACACCTGTAACTAAGCACTCAGGAGACTGAAGCATGAGGATCCTTGCGAGTTCAAGACCAGCCTGGACTACAAAGTGAGCTCAAGGCCCGCCTGAACTATACAGTGAGACCCTGCCTCAAAAAGACAGAAAAAACAATCACAATATAAAATAAAGGTTACCAAGACTAGGAGAAGAAAAACAAAGAAAGCTACTGCTTGATAAGTACAGTTTCAGATTTTCAAGATGAGAAAGTTCTGGAGATATTTTACAATAATGTTTATAACACTACTACTGAACTGTACACTTAAAAACACTTTAAATGGTAATTTTTATGTTATTCTACAACAAAAAATGTTTAAGTAAGCTTTAAAAATTAATGTTTACTGAATTCTCCATAACTTATTATAGGAATATTAAACATACATACACACAGTTGAAAACAGACCCATTACAATAATGCATGAGTTTCTGAAAAGTAAATACAAAAGAAATATCGTTAAAAACACACAATCCTCCTTACCTTGGCTTTTCTCTCTTTTCTCTTTGCCTTTCAAAATCCCGTCCTCTGTCTTTTGCATCCCTCAGTTTTTCTTCTATTCTTTCTTTCACTTTATATTTTTCTTTATATTTTTTCCCCAGAGCAATATCTTCTGGTATAGGAGGGGGTGGACTAGGAGTACGTGGCCCTTTCTTTTTACTTTGGCTGCTTTTTGAATTCCTGAAGGTTACACAAAGTTACAATTAGAGGTCCACATATTTCTGAAAAGGCTAAGTAGATATATGTAAGTACTTTTATAAAAAAAAAAAAAAAAGAGTATTCCTTCCAATTAATGGCCTCTACTATATGGTATATTAGTTATCAATATCCAGGGGGGAAAATATCTCATAGAAAGGAGCAAAGAATTACACTACTATCTATTACATTAACTGTGCTTATTATGATTATATAATATTAAAAAGTACATTTGCAAGAAAAAATACTATTTTTTGATAAATAAGGAAGAAACTTTTAGAAAAAGATATTATAAAATACAACAGTTGCTTGAATTACCTTTTTTTAGCCTCTATGTATAGTATAGGAGACCAAATGAAGAAAGTAAAATTCATCTATAATGCTATTACCCCAAAATAACAATTGTTAATACACTTTACTTTTATACTTTCACTATCTACCAGATATCCACATGCAGAAAAGGACATTTATCTTATATCATATACAAACATTCACATAAAATAAAGACCTAAACATAAAAATTAAAACTAGAAAACTGTTAGAAGAAACTATAAAGAAAAACTTCATAACATTGGACTTGGCAATGATTTCTTGGTTATAATCCCTAAGTCATAGGTAAAAAAACAAAAATTGACAAATAGACTACATCAAAAAGTAAAAACTGTTGTGTGTCAAAGGGCATAATCAAAAGTGAGAAGGCAACCTAGAGAATGAGGGAAAATATTTCTAAATCCCTATTTGGGGGAGTCACAACTATTTTCTCATCCCTGGAAATTGCTTTTAACATCGCCATCTCTCTTCCTCCATAACACATACACATTACAGTGTGTTATACTTTGCACTGAATACAGACATAGTGTGGATATTTTTGTAAAACAGTAGATTAAAGTAATTATTGTTACAGACTAAGAATTTCCTTGAATAAATACTCCCTAACTAATCAATTTCATATGTAGTTTTTTTAATGTAGCTTTCAAGTTTTAATCATCATGAAAACACAATTACATAAAACTGAAATCTCAAGTATTGTTAGTGAACATTCATTTAAATCTTTGAAGCCTGCTTAAGAAATCTTTCCCAATTCTTAGATCACAAAAATGGCCTCCTAAAATTTGGGAATTCTGCCTTTCATATTCACGTCTTTAATCAAATTATAATTGATTTTTAGGTATAAGCTATCTATTTTAACCTTGGTCCCTTATACCACAAAAACTGGCTTTGCCTCATTGGCTGAAACAAACTGCTCCAATCTGAAATTTCATGTTTTTTTACTCAGCTTCATTTTTTATTGCATCAATTCTCTATATGACACGTCTCTTCAAAGTTCTCTTTATTATGTACAGTTACCGCACCTCTTGGATCTCCCATGTAAAATTCTTCTGTCATTCCCATCTCTCTTCTACATTGCAATATCGTAAACTTGCCTTCAAATTTAGTAATTTTTCTTTCAAGTAGCACTCATTTTAATAATTCTAGATTTGGTAATCTCATTATTCTACTTCAGTTTGAATTTTCCTCAAAATGTCCTTGTCTGTTGATTTTTTTTCCAATATCAACTGTTCTCATCACATCAGTGCAATACTCTTACAAACCGTACTAAATTTATGCCCAAATGTATTACTTAAGATCATTCCTGGTTTCCATATTAACACTTCTGTGTAAGCCATCTGCTGAATATTCAGTCAGTACTGGTTTTTTAAGTAGCTCTTTTTATACATCTAATGAATTTTCAAAATTCCTTCATTTTACAGTCTATTGATATTTGTAGATGAAGACTGAAGCCTAAATCCTAAGACTTACTTTCTATTACCTTCAGTTCTCAAGTCTCAAGATTCCTTAAATATAAAAAGGTAATGGATAGTAAAATCCTCAAAACTGCTGAAAGATTTAAAAAAGATAAAAGCAATCAAGTCAATTAGCATTCAGAAAATTTAGCCATCTTAGTCCTTATCCCTATTTCTTATCACAGATAGGGTCATCCTATCTGTGATAGGTAAAATTATTAGGTAAAAAATTATTAAACTATTAAAACCCAATCTATTTTTCATCTTCACCTTATGCCAACAACCATATTAGCCATACATCTAACTGCCTATTTATGTGATAGCTTCTTATGCATCCAACAGATAATATCTATATTTCTAAAAATTTTTCCATTTCAAATATAAAAACATCAATTTTGGCATCTGCATCAAAAATTTTTAGGACAAAAATAAATGTCAAAGAGAGATGCCGTGGGCCAGGCGTGGTGGCACATGCCTGTAATCCATCATTCAGGAGGCTGAGGCAGAAGGATTGTTGCAAGTTTGAGACCAGCCTGGGCTACAAAGTGAGCTCAAGTCCATTCTGAACTACATAGTGACACCCTGCCTCAAAAAGACAAAAAAAGAAACAAAACAAGAAGAAATGCCAGCTTTCAGGGAAGCAGTACAAGTTTTAGTTCGTCAGTAATGAAATCTATCCAGTCAATACAACCTACTTAAGACTAGGTAATTCTATTTTTTTTTTTTTGGTACCGGGAATCGAACTCACGACCTCGCACTTGCCAGGGAGGTGCTGTGCCACTAAGCTAAATCCCCAGCCCAAGACTAGGTAATTCTTAAACATTATTACTGCAAATATGTACAAAACGTAAGGAAGGTAATCAAGAGACAGGAGGGGGGAGAAGAGAGGGAGGGAAAGAAGGAGGGATGAAAAAAAGGAATCAAAATGTATTATGACATGTACCAATTCTTTACGAGGAATATACTGTACACGAGTACTAATAAAAAAAATCATAAAAAACCAAACCACCCAGAGAGCCAGTGTTCCAG